TATACAAGTGTTAAAATGAAAAAAATTTAAAAGATAAGATTCAGATAAGATAAGATCCACTTAAATTTGATTGTTTTTACATAACTGAAAAACAACAAAAAAGGTGTCAGTGAGATACAAATGATACATAAGAGTAATACAGTGAGGTTGATTATGCTTTAATCTCCTGTGGTGTCTCTGTTGTGGGCTTGCTATGTTTTCCACATTTTGTGTGATACTCAACTTAAATGTCAGTTTTTACACATTAAAAATCCATCCAGTTCACCTCTGTACCATTTCCTAGTGATTCCTTTCTTGGCTGCAGCTAAAGGTATTTTGACCAAATATCTATCCTCACATTAAAACATTTCATTTGACAAGTTAAGAAATGAATATTTTATTACTGAAGCATAAACTCACTCTGAAAATAGACAAACCAAGCGATCAGTCTAAGTAAATTTATTCTAAAGAGAGATAGGAAACAACAATAACCGCCAATACTGTTGTTAATAGGATTTGCACTCAATAGGATAACACTTCATTTTCATCTGTTACATTTCCTGCAGTGGGAGGATACAAAAAGTGACATTTTGAACCATCCATCTTTGCTATCCCTGGAGTGTCCAGATTACTGGTTCCTCTCTTAACTTCCCTTATATTTTTCTCACCGCCAGGTTTTCTTAAAGGTTTTTTCTAGAAGACAAATAGGCCCAAAGCGTCACTAGTCACAGCATTGTACATGGGGAACTTTTTCCCATATGAATCCTTTGTTTCACACCAGAAAAAGCGGGACTCTGTTGAAGAAAAAGGTGAATATTGTCCTCATCTGCACAGATTTCCACTTAAAGACCTTGAGCAGAGTTTAGAAAAAACCCTCATGTTTACATTTGTGATGGTAGGAGAGGGAAAATGTCATCTAGCATCAGTCTAAAACAGTCAGTAAGTAGGATTTATCTGTTGCTATGGAGACTTCTACTCCCTTTACTATTGTCTTTATTTTGCGGCATGCTCTATAAACTGAAGTGCCTCTGAATTATTTGTCACCTGACTATAGGTTAAATTAAAGTTTTGTTTTTTCAAAATATATTACATGAAAAAAAAATAAAAGAAATTATCTTCTAATGAAGGGAAACAGCTTTATCTAAATATGATTAAGTGTGTTGTAAAGTTGGCAGTTGATAAAAAGTTGGAGCTCCTCAAATCAAACCCTATTTAAAGGTGATGGTCATATATTTATTTGTCATTGCCTTTAACTGTGACCAGCCCACGCTTTTATTTCACAGCTTTGCATTGGGTGCATATAAACAAAGCATGCTGGAAACACTGAGTGATAGACGGTACTTGTGCATCACTGTCTCTGCCAGAGACGTTTATGTCATATAAAATGCTCTCCAAAAGCAGGCAGTTATATTTATAGTGCCAATTTAACCTGAGATGTCCCCAAAGAGTGTTTGTCCTTTTTCTCTGCTCAATGAGACCTGAGCTGTAAAAGTTTGATTCATTGCACCGAGGGTCTGCTGTGGCAGCATGTTACTGGCGCTGGTGAACCCTCCAAGGACCTGGCTCATGAAAAACACACATCTAGAGAGAGCAGATTGACTTAGCTGATGATCTCCTTTACTCTGTAATTTTTTAGTTCAAATGAAGTTTTTCTTTCTGTGATTTTTATGGCATGTGGCTTGATTTTTAATACAGTTGGCTGACAGGAAAGTGGGTACAAAGGATGGGCAGAGACATGCAGCAAAGGTCGGATTTGAACCCAGGTCGGCCATGCCGAGGACTAAGGCCTGCGAAAATGGGTCATGCACGCTAACCACTTTTCCATCAAAGGAAGGATTGAAAAATGGCAAAGTTCTGTGAAAGATGTAAATCTTTTGACTATGAAAGAGGAAATGCTTGTCTGAAAAGCAGGAAGCCTCTGCTTGTCGACCACAAGATTCTCCAATAAAGGAGTAAACTTGCCAGGAGGGAGCAGCTCATTCAGCTGTAAATTATTCTGCAGCGAGATCAATGAAGAGATTAATTTAGTTTGGTTCTCCGGGCCGCACTTCCTAAAGCAGCAACTCTTATTATGAGTCGGATTTCCATATGAGACGACCGTCAGCATGTGCGTTGGTATTTATGTGGAGTCGGTGGCTGTGGATCTTTTTAATGGTTTTAGCTTTGTATTTGAATATTTGCAGGACATGGATTTTTTTATTTTGTGTACTATTGATTTAACTGGTTCAGAGTCATTTTAAAGTCTGTAATCCTGCTGATAACAGGAAGTTTGCTTGAGGCATTCCTCCATAGCAGCTGTTTGCTATGTCCTGTTAGGCGGGACTTTGTACATTATACTACAGCTGTTGTGTGAAGAAGCATAAAAAGGCTAATCTCTTTTGCAGGTAACAGCTGACTGGTGTGGTTGATTTATATTTTATTAATTAAGTAGAGCTCATCCACTTCCCCCTCCATGGAGGAGCTGCCCCCCTGAGTGGGAGAATATGACCTCATTACCACCTAGATCTGTTCGGCTGCTTGTTAGAATTAGCAAGCTGTCGTCCTCTATTGTTTTTGCCGTCATGTGCCCAGAGAGACATCTTGAAGGTTAAGGCATCACATGGTGCAGTCAGGAGCCACCGGCTGTTTGTTTCTTTGAGGAGAAGCTTATGTATATTAAGCCTTTATTGTTTCCAAACCTTTGATGCTTTTGGTTCAAGAGTTGAATTTGTTGTGTAATACATTTCAGACATTATATATCTCCATCTCTCTTACAAAAGTTTTACTAATTTGGGTTTAAATGTGACCTAAAATTAAGGGAAAAAATTACCTTTATGGTTATTTTCATATCATCACTTTTTCCTGTATTAGTGTTTTTCCACTTTCTGTCATCAACAATTGCTTGATTTTAAATACTTCTTTTTTGTCCTTGGATATTTAACCTGACCAGATTTATTCTATAGTTTGGTAATTTTCTCAAATCTAATTTACAAGCAGTAAAAAGTAGAGTTGTTACCCTTTTTTTTCCTTGTGTTAATCATCTGGTGTCCATCAGGGCTATACGCTTAGACCACTTATTTTTTAATATGATTTGTTGTATTTTCTGTACTAAATTCTCCAAAAAGTCAGCTGTCTCCTCTTGGAAATAGCTTCAGAAAACTTTGAATTAACTTTACTTATCTCATCGGTTTCTTTTACTTCAAAACAAAAAGCCATCAAGGCTGATTTAAGGCTGTTATTCATAATATATAACTTTATAGGCTATAAATTATCTTGTGTTTTATTTGTTACCATCTTCTGGTCAAGACTCCCTCAAAAACAGATTTTTAAAATCTCAGTGGGACTACCGGTATATCCCATTTCCCTTTTATCCCAAATTTCCTTTTGAATAAAGGTTACATTTAAATAAATGAATAAAGAAAGAGAAGTAGAATTTGAGTCATCACTGAAGAAACATTATGTAATCAGAGCTGCTAGGATGCAATATGTGATTGGCTAACATATTTAACTAATATTTTATTTAGCCAGCTTGATGCCCACGATTGATATATAAATTTTAGTGATGATTCAAAGAAACTCTTACAAGCTTCTTTATTGGGTTGGTATGAACATGTTTCATTGACTTAAAATACAATAAGATATAGATGTAAATATATTGTGATTTCTATAATCCACATAGGGTTATAATTATACATACAGACACCAATGTAAAAACACTGATGCTTGGTTAAAAAACCCTCAGAGAACCAAAAGAGGATTGGATATTAGATTATATTATCAGAATTGGTTGGGCCTCATTTACATTGGTTGCTTTCTTGGCATTGACTCAGCTGCTAAGCATAGTTCATACATTATTAAAAGGGGGGAGGTTGGGGCCACTCCAGAAACTTAATCTTACAGTTGAGACACTTTAACATCTATATGAAAGATGTTTAGTGCTTTGAAAACAGCACTCAACCACTATGGAAATCTGCAGCTGCCCAGATGCATCAACCAGATGACTTTGTGCTCAGATGGGATAAAGATGGAGCATACTGTAGAATTAAAGTTAAAACTACCAACTGTATAACATTTTTAGCTCAAGTAATGGCAAAGGTTTAACCCAACTTTATGAGCGAGCATGAGAAAAATCCCCCCCGAAAACATTTAAACCAGCCTTGAAACAACAAACATAGACTTATAATAAGTCTCTAAAAAGGCCGTGACCTGAAGTCATATTTAAAATCATGGTCTGTACAGGAAACCAATGAGTTTTTTATAAATGATGCCAGTTTTATAAGTAGAAACCAAATGTCAACCCAGAAATATGGTGCGTCTTTGCTGATGGTTGCGAAGGCATATGCTCTCTGTTTATTTGATTCATTTGGATCAAAATCTACAGTAGATTTAAAAGAAATTGCAAACAAACAAAGTTGTTTGTTGTACAATCATTTTTATCTACAAATAAAGCATTTCAGTACATATTTAAAAGCTCAAAATAGGCAGTGATGAGTCTATGTTAACTTTTGGTCTGAATCTGACATCAGGCTTCGGTAATACTGATAAAAACTGATCGTTTGAATAAAGTGCAGCAATTTATTGGAAGGGAACCCCATAATCAGTTTTACTTTTAGTGGAAGAAGTCTGACAACATTTGGCTTAGAGAACTCATCTTACCTCGGGGAGATATAAAAGGATCATGTTTCTGTTAGTGGTCACATGCCTGCTATCAAGGCAGTGACCCTGCTCCTTCTACTGTCTCCTCCTGAGGGATAAAGGTTGGATCCCACCTGTCCCAGCGTGTCCATCACTCAGGATGGAAGAGCATCGTCAGGAGAAAGCTAATGAGGTGGAAATACTGAGAGCAAAGGGCGACTGTAGTGGGGCAGTATTTTGTGTTTTAGATTCCTACTAGTTGTGTTAAAAGAAGCGTTACATATGTTCTCCTTGATTTTCCGATCACAGGGCCATATTCTCTTTTTCATTACAGCCTGTTTGTGTGTTACGCCAAAGGAGAGAGTGGATTAGTTCAGACTTGACTGTGGATTTTTCTTCCTCTCCAGGAGGCAGATAGCTGGGAAATAATCGAGGGACTGAAAATCGGTCAGAGCAACGTTCAGAGGCCTGACAAACACGAGGGTTTTATGTTGAAGAAGAGGAAATGGCCCCTGAAAGGATGGCATAAGGTAGGATCCACTGCAAAAACCCAAACACAAAAGCTTTTTTTCTTCTTTTTTTTCTGCTGAAGATGCACTCTGAGACCCATCCATTACCAAAATGTGTGCGTATTATTAAAAGGCTGCTGCTTTGAGGTCATTCTCATTTTACTCTAAGTTACAATTTCTATGTCTTTGTTGTTGTTTAACCAAAGCTACTTTGTTGTCTGTGTGCTTTTCTTCTGCAGCGTTTTTTTGTTCTGGACAATGGCATCCTGAAGTACTCCAAGACTCCGATTGATGTAAGTAAGCCCGACTATCAGCCCTGCAGGCAGAGACAGAGTCGCCCATTCTGACCTCTGCCAGGACAGACAGTAGTGAGTCAGCTAAAACATCTGCAGCTTGTTGCTTCAGCACAAAAGGGAAAACTCAGGGAGAAGACATAATGCATTACAGTTTAAGCTTATGAATGAACTTAAAACTTTGAAACGGAAGCTTTGATGGCTGTTGGACTTTTTCAGATCTTTATAAGTGATTTTTTTTATTTTTGAGGTTTTGGTCAAATAACAAAAAATTGGACATATCTAAACTTTCTAAGAGGACAGGGACTTCAAACTGCTTTGAAAGCAGACTGAAAATAAGCCTTTAGAAAGCATTGAGCTTAAAAATACAGATTATTTATAAATTATGATAAAGTCAGTCATCTTAAGTGGAGAAAATCCACCATAAAGTTAAAACTGTTTGGGAAGTGAAGTATAGTTAATATTTATGTCATATAAAAAATAATTAATGCACAGTTAAATCATGAAAATCTTGGTAATTGTCTGCAGTACTGAATGTATTCCCAAATGTGCACAGATTCAAAGGGGGAAGCTTCACGGCAGCATTGATGTCGGCCTCTCTGTCATGTCTATCAAGAAGAGGGCGCGTCGCATCGACCTGGACACTGAGGAGCACATCTATCACCTGAAGGTAACGCCTCTGACGTCTGACTGCATTAAAGCAACAAACAGGAGCTGGTTAAGTGACTGAGGTCATATCTGATTTTTTATTCTTCCCTTACAGGTTAAATCTCAAGACATCTTTGACGCCTGGGTGTCAAAGCTGCGCCATCACCGGCTGTATCGACAGAACGAGATAGTACGCTCTCCCCGGGAGCCCACGATGCGAACGTTTCCTCCCTCAGCTGCCATAGAGCCACCCCAACCGCCGCCGAACGTAGTGAACGAAACAAAGGTAGATTTTTATTTTTTAACTATTATTCATATAGAGTTCTTATAGACTGGCTTTCTCTAAGCTTCAGTTCTTCTTTAAGCTTCATTAATGAGTAAAAAATTAAATGCATTTATTGTGATACCAGATTTGTCCTAATAATATATTTTAAAACATGTATGGAAAACACAACATTTAAAAAAAAAAAAATCTGTTACAGAAAGCTTCACTTCTTGTGTCCTTTGGCATCAGTAGCATTGGACCAACCTTTATGAAATGAGAAAGATCATTTCTTCAAAAAGTTTTTTTTTTTTACAGCTGCAGCTCTCAAAGTGAATTTAATTATTGCATGTCCCTCCAACAGTTTATTTGCATAAACAACTTTGATGTTTTTTATTTTTTTTTTAGAATAAATTAAAAAAAAGATAAATGACAAGTTTATAATTATATATTATTTAATATTTGCAAATTCTATTCATTTTACCTTGCCCATGCATTTCTTTTGATGCAACATTTTAAACACATGGTCTAGAATTGTGGAAACCATGGACCTCCACAAGCCTGGTTTATCCTTGTCCAGCATTTCTAGAGGCATAAAGGTGCCACATTCATCTGATAAAAATGTGACATGTTTAAGTTATGGCACTGTCACACCTTTACAGTTTAGCCAGCATATTCTGACGTACGAAACATCTGGCAAAAACGCTGACGTTTGTTGGATAAGTTAAGAGCACGCTGAAGCACACTGGCACATGTCGACATACGGCAAGTATGCCCACATATGCCAGCATATGCTCATACTTGGGCCATACATTACAGGAAAGTTATGTAAGCCTTGACATACCTTAATTATAAGTTACTCACAAACCTTGATGTCTAGCTTATCCAAAACCTATGTGTAACTTGTGCATAACTAATGCGTAACTTATCAAGAACTTATGTCCGACGCATATCGACGTATGCAGGTATATTAGACGTGTTCCACACGACCGCTCAACGTGTTTCTAACTGTTTAATGGCATACTGGCAGCGTTTTGGTATAAAAGGCGGTTCCCAGGAGGAAACTGTCAGTATTCCTCCAGACTTTATTCTCATCATAGGGTTTGCGTGAAGGTGAGTATGATGGATCCTTCCTGCGTTCACGCCCATGGCCACGACCAACAAACTTCCTAGCAGACATGACGCTGAATCTGCTGCGACTGCAGACCATCTTTCTTTTTCTTTATTTGGTGGGTGATAAACAGCAGCGAGGTTAATACCGCTATCAAAGAAATCTTGTTATGCAGGCCGGGCGCCCCCGGGGTGCATTTCCGCCCCCATTCAGGACACTGACTTGTGACATTTCATGGGCATTACGCTGCCGTGCGTTATGCATAAGTTAGGCTATCGTTGGACATAAGTTCTGGACACATTATAAACACGTTATGTATACGCCCTATATTGAAGAAATACATAGAAAGTTCAACGTATGCCGGCGTTTTATAAGATTCTGGGATGCTGGCATATGTGGGCGAAAGCATGAAGATGTGACAGCGCCATATGTACGGAAATTTCCAGTCATTATTCTTTTTAGAAAGGTGGCGGGTTCTGTATCTTTACTTTGAATGATTTCCGTATCGACCCCACAAAAAAAAAAAAAAAAAAAAACAAAAAAAAGACCCCGCAAAGATGCTGGCTGAAGCAGCTAAGATAGTGTTATTGTCCACAGAGGGTCTAGTTCTGTACAAGCAAGATGAAATAATGAAAATTTAAATCTAAATGTTATTTGCACATCATTAATATCACTATTGGGAAAGAACACTTGGTGAAAGTAACGAAGAACACCATATCAACCAATAAATTAAAGCTTGTGTACAGATTGGCCATTGAAATGGAAAAGGATCTTAAAAAATGTTACCTAGTTAGTCTTAAAGAATATTAGGGACAATAAACTTAATATTTTGGAGTGACCCTTAGAAAGCCTGGATGTAAATCTCATGTTTAAATATAATACACTTATGTAATAAATGTGAATCATAGACAAGCATCTGTCTGACACAGTGAAGCTGGACAAGAAATTGTATCCAAACCTTGAAGATAAGAGGAAGGATTTCTCCCGGGAGCGATGCTCTGAGTCACATGGAGGCCATTAGAGGTGATCAGTAGGATTTGGATTCAGAGCAGCTGGTTGCAGCTTGATGAGCTCTCCCAGATGATCAGCCCAAATGGAAGAACCCACTGCTGGAGTCAGAATTATCTGCTGCATCAACCACTTAGAAGAAGCACAAGCAGCTCTTTTCAACAGCATGGAGTAATTCCCAGCAGCTTTTATGTGCTACTTGAAGATAACAAAGTGTAGAGTTGGTGTTAGGTTTCCTTATGAAGGCGTCTGGATGTTTCAGTGTTAAACTGACCTGATATTGAGATTTTCGGTATGTCTATGTTATTTTATTGTAAATTTCTCTTTGGTTCTTTATTTAGTCAGAACTTGATATGTCTTTTTCAGTGAGTATCTAATTCTCGTTGCCTTCTGCTTTAAGTCAGCCTTATACTTTTGGAGTAGGAGCTTGTGTACAGTATCCATGACGATGTTAAACTGGTATCACCCTGGATGGGGATGTTGGGGTTTCAGCATCTTCCAGTTTATCCTAGGATCATGGCTTGAAAAAAATATACGTAGCAGTTTTTTTCCCCCACCAAAACCAATTAATCATTTTCCCCTTTGTCATGGTACAAAAAACACTGATGACATTCTTCCTTCCTTCCTTCCTTCCTTCCTTCCTTCCTTCCTTCCTTCCTTCCTTCCTTCCTTCCTTCCTTCCTTCCTTCCTTCCTTCCTTCCTTCCTTCCTTCCTTCCTTCCTTCCTTCCTTCCTTCCTTGTTATCTGTTTTGTATAGGATATAAATAATCTATAAAAATAGTCTATAAAGCGGGAATTGTGGCAAGCAGAAGGCAAAGGAAGCCTACGTTTCCCCTCCTCCTATTGTTACGGTTTGATCTGATGATCTTGAGAGACTTTTAACCAATTAATAGAGTGGTAGTTTTTAGGATATACATTTGTTTCTTGTATTTTTTGATCTATTGAGCAGAATAAATCCTTGATAAATTAGAAGTTGTTCATCCAGTTCTTGGTTTTATCCACATTGTCCACATACATCATAGCCACTTGCCCCTTAAAAAAATATCTACCGTAGCTTAATACTTTTCACAAGAATACTTCAATGTGGATCAGTATTTTCAACATAAGTGCCTTGTTTCTGATAAAAATAAATCCATTCTGCTTTCCGACTTTAAAACTTGAATACTTCATCTACTGTGACACCAGTAGTGATCATGATTAGCTTGTGGGCCCCTTCTAACATTTATGTTTCCCAGTGCAATAGAGTCTGACATGATGCCTCAGACAAATCAGCCCGTCTGACCCCTGTCTGTTATCACCTCCCCACAGCAAGCCAAGTCCAGCAGCTTGCCATGGCAGCCGGCAGCTCCCAGCAGCAGCAGCAACAGCAGCCTGCAGGCGTCCTACAGCAACGGTCAGAGCCGGGTGGTAGCTTGGCTTCACGAATCTGAGGAGATGGACAAGTGTGCAGAGGGTGAGTGAGACAAGAGAGAACAAATGTGTTTTTTTTTTTTTACAAAAGGCGGTGGATTAATGCTGCCTTTAAATTCCTCAGAAGTGGATGTGACTGTGTCGTGACATTAAATTAGTTTGTGAGCTGGTGGGTGTAAATTTTATTTTCAGAGCTTGCACGCTGCCAGTCCAACCTGACTGAGTTAAGCCGGTTATTGCAGAGCCTTGAGATCCTGCAGAGAACACAGTCAGCTCCTAACTTCATAGACATGCAGGTAAAAAACACAAACACACAACTGACTGCAAATATGCAAATGCGCAAATACACTTATAGTGATGTCAATACAGAAAATACAGTCGGTGCTAAATTGTTAATTTATTTGATTATTTTCAAAAGGAAGATATGATGCCAGTGAGAATATTCTCATTGGAAGGGAAGATTGTGTTAATCTGGGGCTTTTAAAGATGCATTTAATCTATTTATTTATTTATTTAAACAGTTATCCTTAGTTGTTTTTTAAAAAGGAGAATGAGGTTCACATGTTTGATGTGCACCTAAGGGTCAAAATTATAAACATAGATTCAATTAACTTTTGTTCCAACTTTCTGAAGCACCTTGTGTTTAAACCTTATTAATCCATGATGGTTCTTTATTAATAACCCCTCTACAGGCTTTTTGATATAATTCTGTCATCAAAGTTAATAAATCTGGCACAATTATTTTATCCCAGAGACTCTTTCCCAAATATTTTATGCAGGCCTTTTTTTTAACCTTCCCAGTTGTAGTTTTGCTGGATGTGTATGATAATTGAACACACATTTGATTCCCAAGTTTAGCTATTTGACCCATGCTTTCACTTTTAAACTGCAAGACATGTAGACCAGTAAAGAAATGTCAACATGAACTGGGATGATATAGACCAGGATGAAAGCCCTGGTGGGACGGTGCAGCATTTTTCACTTCTGTCCTGCTCTCCCACTGATCGAAACAATGTCTGCATTCGACCAGGTCAAAAAAAAAATATATTCACAGGCGCTTTTCCTTAATTCAAAGAACGTGAGTTGCGGTCATTGTTAAAAGCTGCACCAGTGCCCCACATCAGGACCAACCCGCACACGATGCTTTTAAAACACAACACAGGTAAAGGAACGTTATACAAAATATGATAGAAACAAGATTTAAACAAAGGAAAACACAATTACAACAATGACTGCTGGTTGGTTTATAGCTGGGTGAGGGTAGTGAGAATTTTGTGCCATAAGGTGATGTAAAGTATTGCATCACATTTATTTCAAAACCCCTGCAAGCAAAGTAAACATTCTCACAGGTATGTTAAACTACTTCTGCACATGGTTTATCTACCACTGCACAACAAAATCACACGTGTGAGAAACTGCCACTTCGAGAGGAGAAAATCACTCTCAGCCTGCACCAGCTCCTCCCACACGCGCTCAGGATCATGCTGACGCTTACCACTTATCCCACGTACCGCAAACGTTGTAGAAGCCTCCGCCGCTGTCCCGCCTCCTGCCATCGTCTTCATTTATGGATGACCAGCTGTCAATCCAAGGCCTCCTGACACTACTTCCCATGTGATCGTGTCTGCAAGGCCCAATCAGGAGGAGGCTTACAGAAGAGCTTTGTCTCCACCCAACCTGTCAAAACACATTTTCCTTTGCGCTCCGAGAAAATCAGTCCGAGGGCAGAGACGCTTTCGAGAGCGCAGCCGTACTTGAGCTTGGCCACTGGATAGAAAATCGTATGCACAGTTAGATCCCCAGCACGATCCCGGGAGGAGCTGGCGCGCGCGGAGAGTGATTTTCTCCTCTTGGAGCGGCAGTTTCTGTGGTACATAAACCATGCCCAGAAGTAGTTTAACATACATGCAAATATGTTTATTTAGCTTGTGGGGGTTTTGAAATAAATGTGACACCATAGTAAAGCAACATTGTATCAAACCAGTATGGGGCACTAATAAAGCCCTGAAAATTCATTAAAAGATGTCCGGCTGATCATTTGACATGATAGAAAATGAAACAAGGAACATAACGGTCCTGATGTAGCAGAAGAGTCGCAAGTCCACCCCACTGGTGTCAGCTTATGATTAACATGCTTTTTTAGTGCTTCAAAAAGCCATGCATTCTATAAAGATGTAAAACAACTGGGGATTCAGGAACGTTTTCTTTGTATCAAAGCTTTGAGTCAAAAGTTAGGTTTTTAAAATGCCAAGTTTCTTCCTGTTAAAAGGGAGTTTTCCTCTCCAGTGTCGCTAGAAGCATGCTTAGTGTGAGGGATTGCCTTTGAGTCAATGAATAGATGCCATCAGCTGGTTTTCCTTAGATAGAAAACTTTGAATCAATTTTGACTGTATGATCTGGTTGAATTGTCTGATTAAAGTAGCTTGCGATGACATGTGTTGTGAATTGGCACTATATAAATAAACTGAATTGAATACTAAGATAGGTAACTATGAGAGAGAAGCTATAGAAGAGTCTGTTTTAATGTCAGTGCTAGTTTGTGGCTTAAAGTGGAAAGAATTAGGGCTAAACCATTAATAAAATTAATCATGATTAATTTACTATTGAATTGGACTCTAAAACATGCCATTAGCTATAAAAGCAACCCACACAGAGCAGTAATTACACCAATTTGTAAAAAATATGAAAAAGATTCTTGTTAATCATTTGCTCTACCCAGAACTCCTCAAGTGGCTTCGTTTTAGTTTCGCCTGGGTTTCTTCTCTAATAAACTTTTCACCATCTGATTGTCAATCAGTTAATTGAAAAAATAATCAACATATTAATCTATTTGCAAATGAATAGCTAGTTAAAGCCCTGGATGGTACAGTTCTTCACAAATCCCAAACCTACATCAAAACTGGCTGGACTGGGCAAACAGGATAACGTCATACTTGTGGAGTGTCCAGAAACTTTGACTTAAAGCATGAAAATTTATTGATTTTGCCAGAAAAATTTTTTTAAAAAGATGAAGTCAAGCAATTCAAACAATTTAATTTAATCCTAATAAAAAAAAAAAAAAAGACTTTGACCAGGGTCTAAATAGATTGCTTTTATTTTGCTAGAGTCCTCTATCTTGATTACTGGAAGTTTAAAAACATATTTCTCCGTTTACATATAGTGTGAACTGGAACTTCTTGATCCAGATCAAACAATTCAACATTGAATAGAAATTGCCCAAACAAGCTTCATGTTTAAAAAAAAAATAAAAAATGAATATATGCCTTTGAATGTACTTGTCATGTGTATATTTGAGATACAAACATAGAAGATACTTTGGACAAAGATGGAAGAGATTTGCCCTTTTTATTAGCTGGAATGAGATGCTGTCTGTTATCTGCAGGCATTTCATCCCCATCTGCATAGCATGTGTGTTGCTGTAGTTCTGCACCGTGGCTGCTGACCTTTACGCTGCAGCACTGCATACACAGCATAGCAATGCCTTAGGTAAAGAGCATCAGTGATCAATTAACCTTCTGAAGAACTGAATGTAGGAGGGTTAATCAGTTGAAAATCATCTTGTATAATTGTTGGTTATTGTTTATATGATCAATATGAAGGTCTGCTTTTATCTATCCATGTTTGTTCCTTACAGGCTACTTTGCTAAATCACCCATTCATCCTTTAATCTGTTTGGAAACCAAACATGATTCTGCATCAATTATGCATTCCTTAATCTCTGACCTATCACCTTCTGTTTATTTGTGTATTATAGTGTTTGCCTCAGATTTATTATAATGCAACATACCATTGTCCCTTTATTAGCCTAATTTAACAAAAAAAAGAAAAGAAAAAGGTGTTCTTTTATGCCATTTCACTGCAGTCGATGTGCGGCTAACTCTTGCTTCTTTTGTGTGACGTGTTTGTCCTGTTAACCTCCCTTTGCACGTCTCGATCCACATGTGCCTCAAAGACCAATTGCGTAGAACTGTCAAAGAAAGAAAAGCGCTTTAACAGAAGATGGAGAACAAAAAGTGTCGGCAAAGACCCAAAATTCCAACTGCAGGTAACACACATACACTCTAGCAGGGTGGGGCTGGTTCAATTCTCATTAGGTTTGAAACATATCACCAGAAATCTAGAAGGGAAAGAAAAACAAAGCTCCAACAAACAATATAGTTGATTAGAACCGATTTCTTATATCTTGACCTCTAATGTCTTTGTAGTCCAGAGCTTCCTGGAGACTGTGGTAAATAAATTCCCAGCTATTAAAGGGATATAGACCTTTACTGTGAATATATCTGTTATCCAGTTATGATCATCATTTCTGTTTTTCCGACGATTATGCTCATTAAAAGTCAGCGTATTGGCCTAATTTTACTATAAATTTGACAACTTTCAGTGTAACCAGTGTTTGTGCTGAAATGTGCTGGACAGACTGAGGGAGGGAGCCCTGGTGTCAGCAAAGGGGGCCATATGTTCATAAAACATAGTAGCAGTAGCAGCCTGAATTTGAGCATATCTGGCCAACATGCTTAAATATGCTAAGAACCATAAAGGGTATATGGATGGCCAAAATATATTAGGAAACAAGTAAATCAAAAATGTCCCTTTAAATAAAAGTGCCATGAAATAAGTAGATTTAATATGTATTTACTTATCTAATACATTATTTAAATATTGAATATGCCATTAAATTATAAAATACACAATTAAAGAATTAAATATCTCATAAGATAAATAAGATAATCAAAATTACATTTAAATGGTGAATTCAACAATAAATAAATAATATATAAAAATAAATTTAATTACTTTTATATTTTTGAATTAGATATAAAGTGAAATAACTATGTATTTTTAATGGGTCACCAATCTGTAACTTTCTGACTTTAGGCTTTTTTACATAGGCTGAAATATTTGGAACACCCCGATCTTGGTTTATTATTAATGTTTGTGAAATTATATCAAAGAATAATTGCTGTCCTTTCTGCAAAGGAAAGGTGTAGAATGTGTTAACAACAGCAGAAGACAAAGGGTAATATTGACATTGTGATTTAACTGAGGTTATCCTGCTGTACTAAGATGTGGTTTAATTTTAAAGCTTTTTGCACATCTTTAACAGCGGGGCATTAAATAGACATGAATCTGTAAAGATTCCTGCAATGAGTCAAATCTCTTAAAGTGTCGGTATCTGATTTCAATATGAGACCTTGATCAGATTAATACCTAAATCCAGCCCATTCAGTGATGTAGCTCAGAATTATGGGCCGAACCATAATTTTTTTTTTTTTTTTTAGATCTATTTGTTAATCTTCTCTGGTTAGTAAACTGTACAAATTAGATCACGGTTACCAGTATGTCATTGCTTGATTGCTTTTTGTTGATACCCCCTTTGTTTTTAATTTGCTTGATGTATTAATCTGTGCTTTCTGCTCTCACAACTAACGTCTTTTTAACTTTTTACATTAAACCTCAGCTTCACTGTTTAAATCAAGATTAAAAACTCCAAATTATACCTTTTGGACATTTCCATTACAAACTATGGATAGATGATGAAACATACATTTATTTATTTTTTCAATTAGGAAAGATCATTGCATGGGGAAAAGGCAAGAGCAGAATGAATTAGATGGTTTTGGGGTCTTAAACTTTGATAGATTCTCTTAAGATTTATGAAGTTTAAAAGTTTAACATTCAAGTATTGGAGAATTTTGTAGCTTCATAGCTGGTTCTCATAGTCAGATGCAGGAAAGAGGCGTATTATAGTGATGGATTTTTTTCTATGGTTTTGATCTCTCTCCAGGTCCCTCTATCTGCCAGCATGTCTCCTGTCCGCCTCCACTCTTCCAATCCAAACCTGTGTGCTGAACTGGGGGACTACCAGCCTCCGGTTTCTCGTTTGTCAGACAGTGTGGAGTATGCCAGTGACTACATTAAGCTTCAGGAGGAATTCTGCACTATTGCCCAGAAAGGCAAGCAGGCGGATACTGAAGGACATATAATCCATTGGAAAAGCTTTGTCATATTGGATAATTGCAACATCATCACTTGCTCTTTGCATCTTTCTATTAATTTTGACCAACCTCTGACTAATCAAGATAAGGCCATTTCGATCTCCTTTATGTTTCCAGCACATATAACTTTTGCATGAGCATTTTTCACCATACAGTAGAGCCTTCCTACATATTTTCTGTGACAAGGCCACAGTCAAACATCTTGTTTCTTGTTTTTCCTCCATAAAGACCACAAGGTCCAACAGGTTAGCAGTTCTGGGCCGTCTCCATGTCAGTTTAGGTAGACAGTTGTATTAGGTCTTTAAAGCTTAACTATTGTTTTTATAAGCTAAAACTAACAGAAGCTACTTTAAACAACGTCATCGCTGAGTGATTGGCTTTAATCTTTGGTCTTCATGATGTTGTTTGTTCAGTAATATTCTCTAACAAACCTCTGAGGCCTTCACCAAACAGCTTTGATTATTTTGAGACTAGATGATACACAGGTGGCCCCTGTTAACAGCCAGAGTGAAGGGAAGCTGCAAATGAGTCTCGTATCTTATTTGCAATAATCTCTAAAGCACTTTTATCGTTTTACTTTCCCACATTCTACCTGTAAGTCCCTTTCAAATCACACTGATTGTTTTGGTTGTACAGTGAAAAAAGAGAAAAGTTCAAGAGGTATGTAAGGCTCAGTAAGTCCATAACCCCTGTCACCGTGGCTGTTATTGCAGTAGTGTAATGTAGAACACCTACCATCACCTTTACCTACATTAGAGGTTTAAATATGTTACAGTTAACATGGCCAAACATGCATTCTGACTGATCATAGAGAGTAAAGAAAAGCAACTGGAAATGTGACATTTATACAGCCTGCTTATTTAAAGATTGTATATCTTTTGACAAGTATAGTAACAAAGAAACCTAGGTGATGATCAGAAGGAACCTTAAATTAGATGGAAATGTGACATTTATACAGCCTGCTTATTTAAAGATGGTATATCTCTTGACAAGTATAGTAATAAAGAAACCTAGGTGATGAACAGAAGGAACCTTAAAGCTTCTGACAGAAAACAACTCCAGCTGACCAGGTTACATTTGGGATCTTAGCCTTGTGGGTTAACAAATCTTCTGGAGCTTTAAAAAAAAAAAAAAAAGAGTATAGCATCAGGATAACTTATGAGCAGCTTTACATCATACCAACACTCATTAACTCTTCCTCACGTGCATGTATAACATTTTACATACGAAAATGGGTCCCCATGAGGCCCCAATGCATCACACACGAGTGTTTGTTCCTTCTCTGCACACAGCCTCCTTCCTCCTCGCATGTGGATCCTTTTCTGCTCACTCCTGTCAACTTTTTTCACTTTGAAGGTGTTACCCACCGGACAAAGCAACCAGCCTGTGATTGGCTACTTTTCAGGGAGTCCCGCATCTTGAATTGTGACGCGTTGCCAAGGGAACCAGCGGGAACTGCCTTCCTGTTTCCAGCTAACCATTGAGCTAGCAAAAACTATTGGACTATTTTACCTTATTATTATTTTTTGTAGATGTCCTACAACTCTTTTTAACGGACCCCCAACAGCCATTCAGAATCCAGTATTCATCCAGACAATGTTATATCTAATGATGACTTTGCTTACAAGCTTCCAACTATTGAAGACAAGCATTTAGCCTGAAGTTGCTTTGCCAGTTGAAAAGGAATACAGCCTCGAAAGGTGGGTTTCATACAAAGTAGCCAATTCCAGGTGTGTTGCTTTGTCTGGTGGGTAACACCTTCAACGTCACAAAGGTTGACAGGAGCAAGCAGAAACGGGTCGTGAGGAGGGAGGATGGCTGCACACGTAGAGAACGAATAAGCACTCATGTGCGGAATATACTGGGGTCCAATGATACTCTATTTGCACATGTAACATGTTAAACCTGCGCATAAGGGAGAGTTAATGAGCGTTTGTTTGAAGTACAGCTGCTCATAGGAGAATTTANGTCGCGAGGAGGAGGGAGGCTGCGCATGCATTGAACAAATAAGCACTCATGTGCGGAATATACTGGGGTCCCGTGATACTCTATTTGCACATGTAACATGTTAAACCTGCGCATAAGGGAGAGTTAATGAGCGTTTGTTTGAAGTACAGCTGCTCATAGGAGAATTTATTGTGAATGTGGACTTTTGACAGAATCCTGACACCATAAATGCAGTCATCTCTGTGTTATTATAACAATAGGAGCTCATAACATTGTGACATCACAAAGAGACATAGAAAAGTAAGACAAAAGAGAGCAGTTTTCAATGTGTTATTTTGGAGCAGTGACTGCGCATTGAAAGTCAGTTGAAATATGACGTGGATGATAGATGCTCTGCTATTTAGTCCCACTTCTGGAAGTGGCACAATTCAAAAATGAAAAAATGAATTAGGCAGTTCTGAGTGCTATGAAACAGTCAGACATGAGTCACATATGGTCAAATGACCCGAAATGCTTTGCATTTGCCTGCAGTGTGAACATAGCCAGAATACAGTAGCCTCATACTCGGGTTGTCAGCTTTTAACTTGAAATAAATATTTTTATTCTACCAAATGCAGGTTAAATGTTTACTTGCCAGTTTCACTGCTCTTGCATTAAATGCATAACAATATTTCATATTTCTCATGCTAATGTGCGCTAGAAGCAGTAAACATGTTGAGAGTTATTCTAAATCACCTCAGCACTTGTTCATTCCTACAGCCTTTTGATAAACGATCATCACCCTGGCTAATCAAGTGCATAATTAGATGCAGCCGTGCCCATTATGCTAATAATTTTGCTCTGTATGTTGCTTTCCAGAGTCTGGACTGCACTTCAATTAAATTGCATAAAAAAGGTCAAAGCACAAATGCAACACAGCATAAATCAGGATCATTTAACATTTGATTTCTAATCAAATGAAATAAAAGTGGCAAGGAGCAAATGTAATGTAGTTCTTGGAGGGAACAAGATTTAAACTGAAGTAAAATTTTAAATGCTTTCTGCCGCTTAAACTTTGTAAAGTTTTTGTCCCAATCTGGTTTCATCTAGAGACAGATTAGGCTCTTAATAACAGAGCTACTTAGCAAATAATGTCTTCCTACATTATGTTTTCTCACATTTAAATGAAGAAGGACACATACATTTGGGAAAAGGCCATGCATGTTTTTGCAGAGCTGCTCTGTAAAAGCAGAAAATGACAACTGCTGAAAGCATTTTACATAAATGAGGTCAGGGATGCAACAGTAGTGGAGATCATTCATCTCTTCCATCATCAGAATGTTTCTGATATTTATGCTGAATGACTTCCAAACTGTATTTAAATAATTTTCTATAAACTTTATAATTGTGGAACAGATTACCTTACCTACAAAGGATTAATTAGATAACTTTATGTACGTAGACCGTGGATCAGGAGAACTAAGAAATCTATTTGTCACCCATCATTTTGCACAAAAAGACAAGGACGTGAATTAGCCACAACAGAAACTAATGGTATTCTTCAGTTATCAGCTGAGTATAAAGAAATCCATGCTTCATTCATGTTAATTTATCAGTCACAACATTTTTCCAGAAACCTTTTGTAATTTTACAATTTGATACATTTGATTATCAGACTTGCACATAATTTGTTTGAAAGTTGAAAGTTTTTTCCACCTTTCAAGTCAGACGATTATTTCCCGAGTAATCAAGCAAGGGTTCGTATTCTTGGCCATACTGTTAACTGTTAAACTTTTCTCCCCACAGTCCACTCTCTCCTGAAGTCGGCCTTCAACACTGTGGCCATAGAGAAGGAGAAGATCAAACAGATTCTTTCCGAGCAGGAGCAGTCAGACCAGTCATCCCAGATCATCGCTATCAGGAAATCTCTGTCTCTGGTAACAAACTCCTCTGAGGTTATCTGAACGGTTGTGTGCAAATGAGGTCACAGGTGTGCTGTAAAATGTAATAGTTTGGGACAAAAATTGTGAAATCACAAAAAAAAAATGTTTTTTTTTTTAGTTAAAAAATTGGGATTTCACAAGTTCCAGCCAGTTACAGGAAGCTCAGTTATAAAATTGACTTGTGACAGCAGAGACCAACGAGTCTTGAACGCCCAGACATCCTCTCCCATCATAATTGGTGATGAAGGGAGATGTGCAGCACAGTTGGTTAACCAAACTCCTCAGGGCTGCCTTTTTACTCTAGCATTTTAATTGGACTGTTCTTCCTTCTAACTGTTGGCATAATTTTAGTGAAACGTTGCACTTGCTGCTTTATCTCAGTTATGTCCCTAATTGGATGTTGGTGTGACACGGCTCTCCCAGGCTGGAGATTGGAGGTTCGCAGTGAAGCTCTGTGGGAGGGTGATGACCAGTGGTTTGGAGTTGCTATAGATACGGCTGTTAATCCTGGCCGTTTGATTACCCGGAGGTTCAAACTGGACAGATCCATTGTTATTCCACCAGGCCTTTCTTTTCTGCATATGTGTAACACACAAGCCGGAACTGCAGCTGGTTTGGCACATCTCATGATAGTTTGCTGAACATTTTTCCCTCACAGGAAGATACTGAGCATTATTGCAAAATCGGCATAAATAAGCCACAGGTTCCCTAAGGGTCTTGAATAGTTTACAAGTTCTTATCCATTTAAGTTTGAAAATTTTACATTTCTGGACTCTGATGCAGCTAGATAAATCGTAGCTACACAGACAGTTGCATAAAGAAAAGTTGTCAGTGTAAACACCTATTCACATCCTATCACCACAATGGACGGATTGAAAAGAAATGACTGTACGCAGTGGTGGCATTGTTTATCGGGATACATGATATGTTGGCATTGGTGTCTCTTTCAGGAGATGTTATTAAATATTTCAACATCTGTCCGCTTAGTAAAACTGTATTTTATTTCTATCTAGTTGCAGCTTTTGTGTTAAAATGGGGGAGAGGAGCAGATGAGTCACAGGGTGTTTCTTTGGTCATGTGACAGTGATGACGATGCAGCAAAGGATTGTGGATTTCTAACTAAAATAAAATCCAAAAGGGAAGGAAATATGTTTTATATGTAAATAATGATTATCGGCTGTAATGACGGTAATAATGTCAGATATTAGTCCAGATATTCTTATTCTTATGTATTCTCCCAATTTTCATTTTTATCTAACTGAGTGAACTACAGTGAACTGATGAATTTCTTGCCAAAAATAAAAACAAAACAAAAACCCTCGCATCATTGCTATTAAAGCTTCTAAACCAGCGTTTTCAAGTAGGGATGTCCCAGTATGATATTTATATTGCAAATCTTTCCATTATCAGACAAAAAATAAATATTGTATATTTCTATTATCTGATAATAGAAAGCTGATAGTATCCACTCCTGTTTAAAGTTTTTGTAAATATCTGTTTAATATAATTATATATTGTCGTTCTCATACCTGATATTGCTGACTGTTTTTCTCTATTTAAGAAGTATCATTTGATAAAGCTTTTTCTATCATTCCACATGATACAATAAGCAATACAAGCATGTATGATTTATGCTGAAATCGTATCAGTCAATACTCAAAACTGTATTACTTCATACTGTAGTATTTCATAGCTATAGGGATTGATGTCCTGAAAATCTTTTATCTGTTCCAGGTCCCGTACACCTAAGCACCATTTACTCTACCCTTTTCAAACCATGCCGAGAACAGTCCAAGCACAATAACTGTTGAGTTTAAATGGAACAAAACTGAACTGGACCGTGCCAGACACAACCGAACCTCGCTAAATCTAGTACTAGATCAACAGTAGGGCTAGGCACGGTTCAGTTTTTGCCGCAGATGTGTGCTGCTGCTGCTGCTGCTCTCCCTTTCCAAAGGTGAACAGAAGCTGAGCTGTCTCTGTCATTTTATTTCACTCCATCTGAATTTACCCTGCACTCGAATTAACGGACCCGGGGGGAAACCATGACGGTGTTTTCAACAATAGCTACATCCCACCTTGGTCTGCAAACAATCAGTGTAGGAAAAAAATTAAAGAAACATATGATCCCTTCTACACTGAGCGGTTTCTTTTGCTGTAAACAGGACTGGCCTTTTTTTTTGGGGTCCTATAGTGTTTTTAACCTCTTGGACACTAGGCCTGTTTTCGAGAAATATGCTTGAAAATAACATGCCCAAAATGAATTGAATATATCTCAAGAACTACAGAGTTTATTTTATTTTTTTTGGTATCAAAATAAAGGCAAGACCCCAGAGAATATGTTACAGGTCTAAAAACCATCTTGGGGCAAGTGCTGAGGACCCAAATTTGGGACTCAGTGTGGCAGTCTGCAGGAATTGAACTCAGAACTTCTGGGACTCAAGCGCAATACCCTAACCACTAGGCCACCAGTCCCCAACTTTATTGATCTCACAATATGGAGACCAAGATGGCCATGAAAAAAGACAAATCCATTTCTGGATTTTTTTGTCTTTTTTTGAAGTCCAAATGAGAGATTCAATGAAAGATTCACTGTTCCTCAGCATCCAGCTTACTGTTTACGTGTTGCCCCGTTAGACCACTGTTGATAATTTGCCATCTGCTGGTTCTGGTCTTGTAAAAATTGTAAGAAGTGGGCATAAGGTATTTCTTCACGCATGAAGTGAGTGTTTATTTCTGTGATGAAAAGATAGGATGGCCAATCATGAGGTGAATATCGGATGCTGATTATTTTTCTCTGTTTGATTTTTCAGGCTCTAGCCCAGAATGCGGAGCTTCGAAGCCGCCTCAACCGCATCCACTCTGAGTCTATCCTGTCTGAGCAAGTTGTCAGTGTGAACATCATCGCCACGCCTGACGAGGTAGGTCACTGCTGTCGGTCTCTCTCTGACTGAGCCAATTTCCCATGTCGATATCAATCACATCAACCAGAGGACATCCAGTTTCTGGCAGTGTTTGCTCCCTGTCTTTGTCCGTGGCATTATTGATTCTTGTCCAAAAGATTTATGATCTTTCCAATACACCGCATTGAGTAAGCTCAAATGAACACGGTTTGATGCAGACGCTGACATCAAGGTTAATGGGGGGAAAAAAATGAAAGATTCGGAAAGGATGGGAACCTGCCATTCGGCAGAGATACGCATGTTGTAATACGAACCCGGCGTTGCTCCCTCTGGGGCTGTTTTGTTTGCTTAGGTCTCATCCGGCTCCTAATGCTGTCATCACTTCCAGAAAAGAGTGAACAAACGCTGCTTTTGCTTGTGTTTTCCTGCAGGCCGTGGAGCAGATGGGGATCCCTCTGACTCAGCAGGCCTCTAATGAAAGTCGACTCTCCATGTCGGAGTCCGTCTCAGAGTTCTTCGATGCGCAGGAAGTGCTTCTGTCAGCCAGCTCGTCGGAGAATGAGGTATAAACAGACAGGGGAGTATGGATGTTTAAAGAGACGGGAGGTGTGCATTCTGGTTGAGGTAAATTAAGAGGTGGGTTAAGTAAGTGCTTGTGTTGGAAAAGCAAAGAGCTGTGATCAGATGGTGGTTAACGACAGCAGCTTGAGAAACAGAAGGCTTTCAGCTTACTCTTGGTCTCCTTTAAAGCAGCCATTTCTGTCTGGTTTTAAAAGCATGCTGCTCAAACGTTCATGTCTTTTGACATCTTAAAATCATCAGCTTCTCTATACTTATCTATACTTGTTGGGGTTCTATACAATAGACCAATAAAAAATGGCTTTAATTGAAAAATGGAAGGAAATTATTCTCTTTTTATATTTTTTAAAATAAAAATATAAAAGGATTGAGATGGATTTGTTTTCAGGCCACTACAGCAGGAAACCGTATTAGCTTTAACTATATCTAAAAATCCCTTGTCTGCCATCTTTATACATCTGAAGGCTAAAAGTTATGCAAGTTATCAGCAAAATAGTTTAAAGTCAGTCATATGAGAATATTTCAGCTGGAATTAGGTACAGACTTTGACTAGGCCGTTCAAATAACTACTCTGACCAGAACCAATGGTGTTAAAACTGTTTATTCATTCAAATCTTCCAGGTCATCTGACAGTAATCAAGTAAATGATCAATCACAAAAACATGTTTTTCTTAATAAACGTTTGACTCCTCACAATATTTTTTTTTATATTCAAATTTTTATTAAGAACAACATATAGAATGTACAGTTGATCTGTTCACAAAAGACAGTATAGTCTTGTACAATCCTCCATTCCGTTTGTTATAATGATCCATACAACATACTACCTCATGAGATTATCCGGTATTTAGTGTTCCATTTTTTTTGTCTTTCCTCCTCCCCCAACCCGATTACTCTCAGAGGAGTGGGGAGGAAAAAGAATGAACTAAGCAATGTTACCACTGAGTAACTTTTACAAACCGTAAAATAAATGTTCTAAAATGAACTGAGTTCCTCACAATATTTTTAACAAGCATTTATTTTGTAAGCCTGAAACCAAAATATTGTTCTTTAATAAAAGAAAAGCATAAATTCCTAGTTATTTCATTTTGGTTTATTTTCCTGGCTGTATCTTGCCAGATTTGATAAATATCTGCTCTTTACTTTACTTTTGTATAAAAGCCTTTTTTTGGTGCTACCTACTAGAACCTTAAAGTTACAGTTACGGTAGGTGTTTATGTGAACACAGGTAACATTTGGCCATTTGAAGTAGATTTTGTTTTGTCAGTAGAAATCTCTGACTGAAAAATAAAAAAAACATGTTTTCATCTTCGTCAAAAACCTCTTCCCATCGTCCAGATGTGTGCTAGAGATGCACTGATCTGATCTATGTATCGCTCCCAACATTATAGAACATTCTAGATCGGGTATCGTTGAAAATGGACCCAATCCTTAAAAACATAACTAGTCTGTCTAGTTTTATTAGAAATTAAAATTTCAAAATCTCTTGAAAAGCTTCAAAATTAATTTGTTTTTGATTTAATGAATATGGACAGTTTTGAACCCTTAGAGTTGCATACGTGCTTTCAGGCATCTGCCTTGTTAACATGATATACTGTTTTTATGACATCCTTGTCTTCCACTAATATCAAGTTTCCTTTTGCTATATATATATATATATATATATATATATATATATATATATATATATATATATATATATATATATATATGTATAGTATCTTTATAAAGTTAGCAATATTGATGATAACATTAAGCAAACTGGCTGCTGGTTTTACAGAAAATTCGGAATCTGTAGGTATCCAAATTCATGTATTGGAATCAGCTTGTTTTTAATGCTATGTGCTATTTTCTCTAATTTACCTTTAATGTCTCTTGGTCTCACCCAACTATTGCTGGTAAAAAGTAAAAAAAAAAAAAAGCTTATTTTCAGATTTTAAAGGCTTACAGCTTCTTTGTAAAAAGTTAACTATTTTTCCATATATTACATATGTATATGCTCTGCTGTAGTTAGGACTAGATGTAGGTATCAAAGGGAGCAGATCTACCTCTGCAGCTCCCCCAGAGTTACCATGGGCATTTTGGCTGCTTCTTCAACTGATGACAAACTTAACCATAACCCTAATAGATTATATAGGTTTGTGGAGTAAATGGGGCTAAATATTGTTGGTCCTTCTGATTTACCTCTCGCACCTTTTGGTCTGTCACAGAAGGTCTTGATTAAATTAAAGTCGATACTGAAATGACAAAATCTGAAGAAGTCAAAGGGGTGTGAATACTTTAGCAGCCATAAATTATCAAAGCAGATGTTATGGATGCAGTTACAGAAAGCAGCTGCCGCATCCTCCTCTCCGATGCCTTCACTGACCTCTTTGCATTTCCGTAAATCGAGCATGAAATGCTGCAGTGACTCATGCTACTGGTACTGCAGTAAAACAGATAGTCCCTGCTGCAGTTTTTTAGCCATTGGCAAACTGCATTTTGTGTGTAAGGCTAATCTGCCCCGCACTCTGATGGCTTGGTAACACAGCGCCTCTCTGCTTGCTCTCTACCTGTACCTCTCACAGGGCTCGGATGATGAGTCATACGTCAGCGACGTGAGCGATAACATTTCCGAGGACAACGCCAGCGTGACCGATAACGTCTCCCGACAAAGTAGGTCCGCTTCTGTGCCAACGCAAGCATCTGCACTCTAGAACAAAAGGAGGGAACTCCTACATGTCCCGTAGGATGTGCTGCTCCCACAATGCCACGCACAAAACCTTAGACACACACTTTTACAGGCAGTCATTTATCAGCGCTGCAGAAGCAGTTGACTTTGCAGAGTTTCTCTGTGCCAAGGGCTTTTCTCTGGTTTTATAAACCAGCCGGGAATGGGATCCCCCTCCTTCATCTCTGTCACATCCACACAGAGGAGGAAACTAGGCCATGAAGCAGACGGGGGAAAGGATTTACATTATCAGAGTTGCATACATTTAGCATTGATTTTATAATCTGAGAGAAAATAATCAGATTTTCAGACAGAAAATCCCCATACAGCATACAGTAATCTTTTCAGCCAGTTTGTGTTGGAGCTGATTATAAGGTCTCCATGGTTACCATAAAGATTCTTCTTTTCATCAGGGAAATTCTAATTATGAAATCAATTATTTAATAAACAGTTGGATTAAAGCCCTTTGTTCTGTAATCTGATTTGTTCTTTGAGAAATCTGATGAAGGTGTTGGAATCACTTTCAAAGAAAACTCTTATTTTGCAACAGCGTAATGCCACACTGAACATTATAAAGAAAGCGTTTAAATTCATGGGGATTTATAGCAGGTAAAAAGTATGCCTTCAATGTTACCTTGTATTTTACTAGAACGTTAGAATGAGAATGGCAATCCAGCCTGTTCCTATCAAATGCATTTCAATAAAGCATTTACAACTTAGATTTACAGTCCTAATTAGTTCAGTTCAGTAGCTTTTTTTCAACTTTTATTCAGTCCTAATTATATCCAATTTTTCCTGGAAAGCAGAAATGATATTAGCCATCCTTCAAAATGATAAAAAGCATCTAGAGACTGAATTACCTCCAACAAAGATAGTTGTCTGAAGTCACAAAAATTGCAGAGGTGTCTAGTAAAAAAGTAAAATACTTTGTTACCTTAGTTAAGTATAAATTTTGGCTATCTATTCTTGGAGTAAATATTTTTTAGACAACTTTTTACTTCTACTAACTCCTTTTTGCAATTATCTCTACTTTATACTACTTACATTATAAATATAGCCTTGTTAGTTTTGTTTAATTTCAGTTCATTTTCATAATGGCTTATTAGTATGTAAAAAAATAAAAACCATCAAAATAATTTATTTAATCCAGATGGTTGATTTCTTTGTGGTTAGACATACAAAGATAAATAGTTTTCCAAGATGATGCAAAGTTAAATTTGACACTGTTGCCATTAGTTATAAAAAAAGTTATATATTAAGTATAAGGACATTTTCGTCCAGAATTGTAGAAAAAAATTATTTTAATAAGCTAGTGCAATAATGCGTATGTCCTTAAAAAAAAATTCCTGCCTTACTTTTATACCTTAAGTAGTTATAAAAATGGTACATTTACACTTTTATTTGAGTAAAAATCAATACTATAGTTGATACTATAAATTCTTCAAAAGTGTTTTTAAACAGTAGAATTTCTACTTCTTCTTGAGTAATAAATATTAATACTTTTGAAACCTCTGGAATATTGGAGGAAGATCTGCAGATTTCGCTTTAAGTCACCTCCAGCAAAGATTTTGTTCTCTATATCTCTTAGTTTCCATGACAACCATGAGATGTTATCTACAAGCTGTTTGTTTGGGAGTTATGCCAGAAAAGAAGCTTAAACATAAACATGTGAAGTTCACTGTGTTGCATATTTGCTTAGCAGTAAAGGCTCCACCAGGGTCCTCCATGAAAATAAATGATTAATTAAGAAAAAAAGGAAATGCGCTTTATTTCCACTTTTAAAGCATAGTGCAGGATCTGTGATGCTGTGGGCCTCTTTCTCTTCCGAGTGTCCTTGGTAACCTTGTGGAGGGGAATGGAATCATTTTTGCTTTAATTAAAAAAGGAGATTTTAGATAAAAATGTTTAAAAAAAAATAAACTTTTTTAGCTGTTTTTTGTATTTATATTTCTGTATTTTACCTTGTGAAAGCGAGTTGGTCGTTACTCTTTCGTTGTTTTGGTTATTTCGTCCAGTGGCCAATGGAGACTTTGCCGGCAGCTCCTTCCGTAACGGGCGGCGCATCTGCCTGCCGGCTCCGTGCCCGGACACCAGCAACATCAACCTGTGGAACATCCTGAGGAACAACATCGGCAAAGACCTGTCCAAGGTGTCCATGCCTGTGGAGCTCAACGAGCCGCTCAACACGCTGCAGCGTATGTGTGAGGAGCTGGAGTACAGCGAGCTGCTGGACAAGGCCGCAGAGACAGACGACCCCTTTGAGCGTATGGTAAATGAGCATAGAGTCTAAATTTCAATTCACTTAGTTATAAAAGTTGATAGCATAACGGTGGTCATGTTGGATTTTATATTGTCCCCGGGGCTTTAACATAAGCTGGAAGAATCTAAAACCGACTGGAGTTCAAGTTAGAGGTCAAAAAGTGAGCTAAAGGATGTGTAGAACAGTTTCAAAGGTTTATAAATGAAGATTTTTCTAACTGAGATAAAGTGGGTTCTGCAAGTAAAAAGTGTTTAGATCTCACTCAGCTCATCAAAATAATATATTTCTTAACAATCAGTTCAAAGTTAAGAGTAAAGATGTTTTTGACCCGTTCTGGAGGGTTTATCCGTCGGGTGTAATTTCCTTTAAACCTTTCTCCTTCCCGTTGTCCTCATCACAGGTCCTTGTCGCTGCGTTCGCCGTCTCTGGCTACTCCTCCACTTACTACAGAGCAGGAAGTAAGCCATTCAACCCGCTGCTTGGAGAGACTTACGAATGTATTCGGGAAGACAAGGGCTTCTGCTTTTTCTCTGAGCAGGTACGTGTACCGAGGATAATCGATGGAGAAAACCTGCTTCCTTGTTCAAAACTAGGTCTCTAATGTTTCCTTACATATTTATTAGTCGTTGTTTGAGCAACATTTCGAATGGTATGAAAAGTGAAGGTAAAAGCCTCTCTGGTAAGTGGCTCTGTGGCTGAAAGGGGACTGTTTGTGTTTGATGTGATCCCTCAGGTGAGCCACCACCCTCCCATCTCCGCCTGCCACTGCGAGTCAAAGAACTTCACCTTCTGGCAAGGTAGATTACCTGCTTAATTAGTCGCAGGCTTCTTCTCCTGGGAAAGAGGAGCAAACTGAGCCCCTCAATAATAACACAAATAACCATTTTTTATTTATTTATAGAGAACAAAAACTTAAATATTGTTTGAATGTTTGTGGTTTCTTTATTGGTGTTTTTTCTGTGTGCTTTCCAGATGTGAGATGGAAAAACAAATTCTGGGGAAAATCTATGGAGATTTTACCGATGGGATCTGTGAATCTCTTAATTCCCAGGTAACCTCCATCCCATCCTCCACCATGTTTTTAAGCTGAAAGGGTTACACTTTTTCAAACCAGTAGGCTCAAATTGTTCTGCTACATTTTGATTTGCTTTGTCAAACATTCAAATTTAATCTTATCGCCAATCTAAGATTAAACTGGAAATGAAAAAAAAAACCCATTACATTCTATATTCTCTGGTCGAATGCTGAATATTTAAACTAAATGTTTACCTTGTTAGGTTAGGACCTAATGTTGCATAACCTGAATTAGGAGGAATGTTTTGATAATGATTTTAGACTGCTCTTTATTTAGGTTTGGATCATTTTGCAACAAAACTGCTGGGGATTTGAAAAAAGAACTGCATGTTTAAGTTTAAACGTGTGTTTTTTCCTCTAATCCATACAATGTCAAATATATTCAGATCAGTTGATAAATGTCTTTTAGCTTGTTGCATCAGTATAACCCTCTTTTTTGCAGTGAGAAGCTTCTAGTGATTCAGGCTGGATATTTTACTTTTCTTGTCAGGAATAGTTGAGTTTATTTAAAGCGGATGGTTTCCTGTAGAGATAAATATTTATGAAATTCTTATCTTAAGAATGTCTTGATGAGAACCTTGATTTATGGTCTTTTTCTTTTTCTTCTTTCTTTATTATTCCACTGGTGGTTCCATGACGGTAAACATCAGTGGATTTAAAACTATAACTATGATTGCAGTTTATAGACATATTTATGGAACCGTTTCCCCGAAGAAGCCCATCTTAATGTTATTTTTAAAGCAATATCTTTTGTTTGCGGTATGTGGAGTCACAGCCATAAAGAAAAGTCCAAAGAGAAGCTGTTAATACCTTGTGTTGTTGCTTTTTTCATCATTACAGTACAAACTTCAACTTATTTATTCATATTTTAAGTTTTTATTGCTCATGTTTAGTGTTAAGTGTTGTTTCCATGTTACTTGCTGTTGACTTTAGCTGAACTTACAAACATATGAAAACATTCAGATTGTTTTCAGTGAACCTAAGCAGGTGGATGAGAAGAAAGTTTTTAAAATAATCAGGCAGCTATTAAACCTTTCTTCTTCATATTAGTATGATACTAATATCATATTAATATCATATTAATATTCTAATCTTAAATGTTGTCCTTTCATTATCTGTTAATGGAAAACAGGTAAACGGAAATATTGAAAGCATTAGACTATAATTAACTTATAGAAGATGAATAGTTACAAAAATTAATCAGCTTTCCAATTATGCTCTAATTAGTTAAATATTATTGTAATATGAAGGTATTCCTGGTGCTCCTTAATAGGACTGAGCAATTACTTGTATGTGAAATATAATCACAATTTAACAAAAAGTATTTTTGCAATCGCAGAAGCACCAATTGCATCCAACAGGAGTAAGACATTATATTCCTAAAAGCAGCTCTTAAGGTGGCGGTAATACATTTAAAGTGGGTTTGCTGCCACAGAGAGGTAGAGTTGCAGCTAACGCACAGATCCATGCATGCAAGTAGAAGTAAGAACAGTAAAATCCTTCAACCAGGACTCTGGACAAAGCTTTTAAGGCATCAGATAAACTGAAACCCTGAAATGAAAGATTTAGAAATTTGGGGTTAGTGCTAAGGAAAACTGAAATGTTATTTTTGGCCCTACTTCTTTTTATATATCAGCCTTATCCACTGGTCGCTAATCACACTGTACTTACCAAGTCTTGAACATTTTGCAAACATTTTGACTTTAATACTTCTAAAATTAAAATTTCACTGGAAAAACGATCCAGAAATAAGCAAAAACTTGTTAAGTTAATTTAAGTAGGCAAATACTAGGTATTTTTACTCTTTAAATAAGATAATTAGATCATATGAACTTGAAATAAGAAAATTGTCTTGTTCCATCTTGTTCCAAGATGTCTTTTGCCTCCTCAATCCAAGAACAAATGCACTTATTTTCAGAAAAAATGACTTATCTAGACTCCAATTTTTTTCCCCGGTGTTCAACCTAATAGTGTTATTGCAATCCATTACTAGACCTTATTACCTTTGTAACATTCAAAAAATGTATTATATATTAAGAAAAATAACAAAAGTGCTTCTATAAGAATTTCATGAAAAACACTGAGAGTAAAAGAAAAACATTTTTTTTTTTTTTTTGGTACAACAAAACCTTAGAGGCATTAATGCTGATAGTGGCATTTACATTTTTTAGTTTATAAACCTAAATATAATTGTTAACTAGGCTTATTAACTTTACTTTTTAACTTTTCAATTAGCTTTTTTTTTTACTTGACTTATTAACTTAATTTCCAGTAGGTAATATCTCTTTCAAGGGCTCATCTAATTGGTCAAATGCCAAAATAATATGTACCGCCATGTAGCAGTATCTTTGCTGAATGGCTGGATGTAGATCTAGTGCTTCTAGACTTCACAGAGGGTCAGGGGACTCTATTTTTAAGGGGTATGCAAGTGATCAAAAACGGTAACTTGGCCTATAAAGGGTTAACATTTTCATATTTTAGCTCTGGGTAGTTTTGAAAAAAATAACAATGAATAATTGTATATTCATTAATTATATTTAAAAGGGGGGAATGTCCTCGGAAAGAGATGTTAACCTATTGACCTAATGTTATTCTAAATGCTGATTTCTATTAAATTGCTGACCATTTTAGGTTCAGTTTGAGCTTCTGTTTGACCCACTGATCATCTTGCTGTTTTGACTGACGGATCAACAGATTTTTCATTTCACTGATTTATCGGCTTCCATCTGGATACAAGCTGCTAAAATGAGCCTCTGCTGTAGGATGACTGGACTCAGTATAGACTGATGTACTCTCTAAGTGGTTAAAGCGTCTGATCAGGATGGCGTCTGGATAGATGGATTATTTTAGATCTAGGTTTCAAACTGGATGTACGGTTCTTGGACTGGGTTTCATTTACTATTATAGTTCCTTTATCTTTGACGTTCAGGAATCAGTGATTTAAACGGCCTGGATTTACTCTAAGAATCAATATTCTTCTGGATCTCACATTTTAACTGATTCAAGATCAGTAAATAAAATACTGAGATGGTTCTTTACAACACTGCTGAAAAAGAATTGACTTCAGCTATGGAAAAAGGACTATGACATTGTATTTTAAATATATCTAGAGTGAATTTAAACGTGTGCAGCTTGTTTTAAAAAGGATATTAAAGTTGTAAATCCATGAGGATGTTTCAAATACATCATTTTAAAACCCTAAAATGGAAATAACACCAATCCCAGGGATAAGATGTGTTCATTTATGACTGAAATGGTTTTGTCTTCTCACAGGAGAGCATTGATGTTGGGATTTTAAAATGTTCTTGTCGTTCTTTGTTTTGTTTGTGTTTTTTTATCTAAAGCTGTTTTTGTTCCAGTCTAACAGCTGTCAATGTTTCCTTCCAGGTTTGGAGATCATTATGAATGGAATAAAGTCACCACCTGTGTGCACAACATCCTTAGTGGACGACGGTGGATCGAACATTACGGGGAGATCACCATCAGAAACACCAAGAGCAGCGCCTGCCTTTGCAAACTTACCTTTATTAAGGTGATAAAATATCCTAATAAAGGAGTAAGTGACAGATTTATACTTATTAGATGATTTATAAGAGGTTTTCTTCTTACTTTTAGGGAAACTATTGGAGCTCAAATGTGAACGAGGTCCAGGGATTTGTGATGGATCAAGAGGGGAAAGTGATTCACAGGCTTTTTGGAAAATGGCATGAAGGTCTTTACTGCGGCGTCCCGCCGTCTGCCAAATGTGTCTGGAGGCCAGGTACGCTCCCTCTCTTCACACACAGCTGGGCATCGTGCAAAACTGGCTGTTAAAAAAAAAAGCTTTAAGCTTAAAGCCAACCTGATTTCCCCCTCAGGCTCCATGCCGACAGACTACGAGCTCTATTACGGCTTCACCAGATTCGCCATCGAACTGAATGAGCTGTGCCCCGAGCTGAAAGACGCCCTGCCGCGTACAGATGCTCGCTTCAGGCCCGATCAAAGGTGCTGAATCCTGGCCATTAGGGCTCAGCTAAGCAAATTCTTTGGATTATTTGTTATTCTTACCAGTTGACCTTTTCCACATTTTTCACATTAAAACCAAATACGTTAATGTCATTTAAAGGTGATTAAATAGACTTGGACTGTGTGTAATTAGACCTCATTGTAAATAAAGATGTGATGCAAAGTAATTTTTTTTATGTAAAAATTAAAGAATAGAAAGCATCTTAAAGGAGAGGCATTAAAAAGCGATTGTAGAGAGAAAGGCATCCAGATGGATGCTTAAAACAGGAGATGCTGCTGTATGGAAATGGCCTGAAAACAAAAGGGCCTGATCTTTAAGATTCCAAATAAGGAGCTCTAAACTGTATGTTCAGAAAAGTGTTAGCATGTGCAATAAGTGGGCATGTTGACTGTGATCTACAATGACTTTTCAAGCGCCTGTTAAGACATACAACCTGTTTGGTTGATCTGCTGCTTTAAAATGAGCAGATTGTCGGTGCTGCTGGCAGCAATAACCTGAGTTCCCTCTCTGAATGAGAAGGACCTGGAGTAGCATTTACCTGTGAACATCTGGATTCCTCACCAGCATCTCTTTAGAGGCTCTGTGAGGGATGCTCTCATGCCGTAATATTTATGTTCAGTCTTTTTTTTTTCATTTTGAATTAATTGTACTTGTCCAGCTTGCATAGGCGATTTCTACAATTGCTATTTTTGACCATACAATATATTATTAATAATAATCCATCCATCAACTTTTCTGGGTTGGGGTCATGAGGGGTGCTGGTGCCTATCTCCAGCTGTCAGGCGAGAGGCGGGTTACACCCTGGACGGGTCGCCAGTCCATCGCAGGGCAACAGAGACAAACAGGACAAACAACCATTCACACACACACTCACACCTAAGGAGAATTTAGAGAAGCCAATTAACCTAACAGTTATGTTTTTGGACTGTGGGAGGAAGCTGGAGTACCCAGAGAGAAGCATCGCATGCACAGGGAGAACATACAAACTCCATGCAGCAAGTCGGGGAATCAAACCCAGAACCTTCTTGCTGCAAGGCAGCAGTGCTACCCACTGTGTCACTGAGCAGCCCGATAATAATAATAATTATTATAATAATAATATTAATTTAACTTTATTGATCTCACAATGGAGAAATTCACTTCTGCATTTAACCCACCCCCTTGGGGAGCAGTGGGCTGCCATGGTGCGTCGCCCGGGGAACAGTGTGGGGTTAAGGATCTTGCTCAGGGACCCAGAGGCTGTAGGGATCGAACAAGCTACTTGCAACCTCAAAGCACAAGTGCACCGATCTAACCCTCTAGGTCTAGGCCAACACCTCCCATCATGTCATCATGCAAACTAAATCTCTCCCCATCATCATTGTTTCAATGTTTTGCACATTTCTTTTTATTATGCATAATCCCTCTAAAGATCAGCTGGTAAGTGTGCTGGAATACTAATGCTTGTCATGGTGAAACAATGTCGGTTGAAGCAGTATCATGCTGCAGGATCCAGATCAGAATCAATTTGAGAATCTATGGGGATTTGAGAACTATTTTTAAGAGACTCTCTCGATCCAATCTGACCAAGCCTCTGCTATATTACACAGAATAATCTGCAAACAACTTCAGGCTGTTACATCTCCACTAATCTGAAATATGATGCTGTGGTTCTGAGTCTGAGTTTTTACTCAGAGGGGAAGGTAAAATTTGCTTTTTTTTAATCCAGGAGTTTTGATTGTTAAAACTGGAAACCCAAACAGCTCTTTCCTTTCAGTTAACAATTAGGCACTGATATGTTTCATCTGTTTTATATATATTATTAAAGAAGCTAAAGTTTGTGGTTTTAACAGCAAACTTCTCAAACTGAACAAAATCCAGCAAAAAACAAAATATTTTTACAGTGAAGGCCCACTGCAGCTTGTTTTTCAGAAAACTTTCTCTTCTGGTAATTTATCTCCCTCATTTTTCTGCTGCAGATATCTGGAGGAAGGAAACGTGGAGATGGCCGCCTCTGAAAAGCAGCGAATCGAGGACGCCCAGAGAGCCAGGAGGAAGTGGAACGAAGAGAACAACATCAAACACGAGCCGCGCTTCTTTAAGTAAGGACAAGCCTGCCTTTTCACCCAACTGAAATTGATTTTATTGACTTTGTAATTGAGAACAATTAGCCTTTCAAATTTAGTGTTGAAGTGCCTCCTCTGGGATACTTCTGCACACACTAAAGCATTTAAAGCAGGCACATGTCTGGATTCAGGCGATAACAAAGGCTGAAATGTAGATAATTTAACTTAGTTTATTTGAATAATGCCAGTATACAGGATATATCACCTCAGAGCACAACTATAACAGAATACCTCGCTAATTAAGGGATGTCCCGATCCAATACTGATATCTGAGATCAATCAGTCAAAAAATGATCATTGGAATTTATACATGGATCAGTTGCTCTCATTCCTGTTGTTGATTATTGTTTTCTGTTTGAGTGATGTCACTCAATCAAAGCTTTTTATTCCACACTACAAAATGACTAATAATAAAAAGTATAATTTAGGCTTAAAATCCTTTCATAAGTTCATCAGTAAGGCACAGCATGTGTCTGCAGCCTCTGGTGTCTGCTCTGCTTTCTTCTTTGATCACAGATTGAGATTTCCAGCGAGGTATGGATCCCCTTTTTGTGTGTTTTATCCTCATTATAATACCTCCAGACTCTCTGAGTCCAATGCTGAGGTTGTAAATAGTCACTGCTGGCAACCTCTGGTTTACAGGGGAGCTGCTGGTTCTGCTAAATAAAGTTGAAGAATCCTTAAAAAAAAATCCTTAATCTAGATTATGATCTGGATTATCACCAAAATATTATTGAGTGTTCCTTTGAAAAAATTCCTCTAAATCTGTTCTTAACTTTTCAAGAAGTCCTGCTAACAGACAAACAAGACAAAAGCCATAAGCTCCGGAGATAATAGTTAAAGATAAATATGATTTCATCAACACGATTAATCAACTTTAGATTTACTAATTGATCAATAATTTTCTTCCCTATTTCCTATTCTTTTAGTTTCCATCGAGGATGTTGAGCTTGTTGAGAGTCTGTCTTTTTTCCACCAGGCAGCCAGTCCACACCTGTCAGTGCGGCGCCGCTCGGTGCATCAGTCACGTTTAAAACAGTTTGATTTGAAAACTTTTACCCACAAAGCAGTTTAGATTCTAGAAAGAAATTTTATTTTAGGGCAGTTCTTCAAAGGAAAAAAAAAATATATATATATATATATTTGCATTGCAATTTTTTATCTCTCCATCCATGTCTATCTCCAGTAATCATTGGGTGAAAAACGGAGTTCAGTGTTGCATTTCTGCACAGACTTCCTTTTTTCGTTGTCGCTGGTATGTTGAAGCCAAATTAACGTGTGTGTAAATAAGAGAGAAAGGAAGATAATTATCCACTGGTCACCTGCTGAGTTCCACATTTCAGCTCCGGCTGCCATGGTGATGATAACAGCAGCGAATATCATGCAGTGATGTGTTAAAATACTCCCCCTTTACTTTTACTGATTTCTTGTTTTTTTTTTTTGTTTGTTTCAATCAAAACACTGCTTATTGCAAACAAAAATAACCTGAACAAAAAAAAAAAGCAGTTTTCAAGTATTTTATAGAACAAAAGATGTGGGATTTCCTTCCACACTAAAAAAAATAATGAAACCGCTTTTGGCATTTACTTAATCATATTTAACACAATTGTTTCATGTTATCAGGGTAGAAAATAAAACAATTGTGTTAAAGTAACTAAATATGATTAAGTAAATGCCAAAAGCGGTTGCATTATTTTTTTGAGTAGCTGAGACACAGTAGCTGACCTGCCAAAATTATTCCTAAACATCAGAAATTCATAAAACAACCCGAACCTTCAGAGGCTGATAAAGACAGTAACACTATCAGCCTTTTTTTCACAAAGCTAAAAACTCTGTTCTGTTTTTGTCCAGGAAAGTGATGGACGCCAACCACAGGGAGAGGTGGGTCTCCAACAACACGTACTGGGAGCTCCGTAAGAACCCTGGCTTCATCAACATGGATCCCACCGTCAGCCTCTGGTAGCACATGGATCAGCGTCCATCGCAACACCAGGAAGCCCTTACCTATGCACAGGAGGCGCGTTGGATAGAAACACTCGCTGCATGGACCGGAAGGACCGCGGAGTGGAGGGACGACCTGTTGCCTCGCGTGGGTGGGGGCTGCCCATCCATGGAAACATCCTCATCCTGCTTTTTTTGAAGCCAGGTCGCAGCTACTACGTAGATCGCTCCTCTGACTTTCCCAGTTTGTCCTTGCCTTAAAAAGACCCCCATATGACTCAAAGGATTAGGCGCCTTTTAGTTGAAGCCATTTCGTTTCCAAACAGCAGTTTGGCTTAGACTAGTCTATGGAGTAGACATCTGGATTACCTTCCATCCGTGCATGTTTAGAGAGCAGCTTTCTCCGGCATAAAGCCGTATTTATTATAAGATCAAATATTGTAGAGAAAAAAATAAGAAGTATTTTTGTAAAAAAAAAAAAAGAAAGAAAAAGAAATCTTGTGTGAAAGAGAATAACTTGAATTGGCAGATTTTATTTATTTTTTGCTTTTTAATACTAATGAATCTATGAAATGGCAGCATCTTCTCTGGGGAAACGACTCATACTAGATTAACAGAAACAGCGGGAGTAGATTAACGACGCCCCGCCAACATGCAGGTTGGTATTAAACGTACAGCCTGTTGTAAATAGCTCACACACCGTCTGTCATGATGCAATCATGTTTATTGAACATTTTAATTTAAAGACACATGGTCAGAATGGGTTTCTGTGGAGAGTTGTTTTCTCCACTGTGGTACAATTAGGGAATATTATTATTTACTGTTTGCAAAGAAAAAAAGGTATTTTATTTCCATGACCTTTGAACCTAAACCGTCCCGTTCCAACCGTAAACACTAATGTATTTTACTGGGATTTAGGTGATAGACTTACACAAAGTGAAGCATAACTTTGAAGAGGAAAGAGAAGACTGTAATCTAGTGTGTCTTTCGGGGTATTTCTCCTGCAGCTTTGCACGTCTAGACACTAAAATCTTTGAGACAGCTCAGTTACACAAGATGGAGAGCCACATTCTCATTTCCATACTGTACAGCATCCAGCGTTTGCTGGCTTTTCCTTATTTTGATCACTTTCTACATTAAAGATACAGAATGAAGACGTTTAAACTATGAGGCGATAATGTATGTAGCAAACAAAAAAAATAGTGAAATAACTTTTTTTAGATTCTTCCAAAGAGCCCCTCTTTGCACTTTTTGGTTTCTTTCAATTAGCTTCATATAAGGAGATGTGTCCTTTTCATCTAAACCTGAAAAATCTATTTTTTATGTTTCTCTTGTGGAAAAACTATAAAGTCGATTTAGCTTTCTTTGAATGGTGAATTATTATTCCCCTCTGTTGTCCAAAGGACAGATTTGTGGACAGCTGGTATCACTTATTCTCCTGATAGCTCCTCCATAGCTACCATGGGTCTCTACCGCATTTTTCTGACTATTATTCTCCTTTCCCGGCCGATCCTGATAGATCTGCTTTTGCTCCATACTCCATCCTTGCTCAGATTATGGAAAAGGAAATCCAAATATTTTAATATTGGCTTTATGACCCGATTCCAATTAAAACTTCTCAACTTTCCCTCCGACCTTTCTGCCGGCTTCTTCATGATGCCGTTTGTTCACTCATTTTCTCCAACAAACCTCTGCAGTGTTGATAGAACATTTTGATTCATACTGAGATTAAATTATGCTCAAATAAAAGAGGCTGAATAGAAAGACTTTCTCCGTTTGTAAAAAAATCTAATACTCCTAAATTATGCAGGACTGTTAGTCTGTGACCTAAAGTCCCAGTAAAAGCAGCTGAGGTTTATGGTTGTGACGGTCTGTAAATTTAAATTGACTGTGAATTCTTTTGAGATTTGCAGTGAAATATTTAAAGCTCAGTGTAAGAAAACACAAAGTGATAAAGATTGTAAAGGTTGGTCATTATTACATCAGCTTAAAAAAAACATTTTCCTTTTAACGTTTAAAAAAAAAATTCTGATGATCTAAAAATATTCAGAATCTGTCATTTTTCCAGATTTGTGGCAATTTTCTTAATCAGTTATTTCATTTAAATATTGCAAATGGTAGGGGACTGTGTATAGATGATGATGCAACAGCGACACCTAGTGGTTTTCATATAGAAGAGCAGCAGGCTAACTTTTTCATCCTATATTTAAGCTTTTTTTATTTTTTTGTGACCTAATTATGTCGAATTCCCCAGAAAGATTACTGCTAGGACTTTTTGCTTTTACATAGAACCGGACGGTTGCATAAAGTTTGTATATTTAGTGCAAAACTGAGAAGCTTTAATGTTTGGAATAGCTCCTTAACTTTTTATTTAGTTCTTCAGACTAATAGAACAACCTTTAAAAAATATCTCACACTGTCCAAATCTAAAATGGTTCCCTTAGTCCTGCCCTGCAGGGTGAAAGAAGATTATATATATATATATAAATGGGCAGAGTGAAGATTGCAAACCAAAAAACAGGTAGATCTGCTTTGCATTAATGGGATTCATCATACTATAAAAAAAATATCTCTTGGATCACAGTCTTAATGCTACATCTCTTTGGTTTCACTTGCTGTGCCTTAATGCATTTATCAATGCCTCTCACACACACCCCCACACCACGAAGAAGGTATGCCATTAAAGAAAGTCACCCTGCACACTCTCCATCAGCCTGCAGATGATTACACACGCTAAGGATTTCCTTCTGGAAGAAAAAAATTCGATTTAATGTATTTTCGTTTCGTCTGCAGCACGTTGCTGGTTTAAAGACGTTCTTCACCGGGTTCAGCGACGGCGTCCCAGCAGCTCAAAGCAGTGGTTAGCGTAGTCCTTGTATCATAGAATCAGGAAAAAAAATAAAAGATCTGAAGCTTTTCTTCCCCATCGCTCCACCTGCATGCCTAGAATACATTAGCTTGCCAATGAATGTCTTTGATGCCTTACAAAGAAAAGGGTTTTTTGTTTTTTATTCCTGTAAAACTTGGACCCCCTATTCTTCTTTTTGGACTGACACATTATTAAAAGGCACTAAAAAGTCAGCTTGGTTTTAATCAGATCTTTTCCCTAGTGGATACCTTCTAAAGTGCAATTTTAACTAAGTACATATCTCTTCATGAACACTGTACACTGCTGCTGCATAGTGCTTGTTCTAATAAAACAGCAAACGCCAACTGAGGAATCGGTGTGCTTTTATATCCTGGAAAAACACACAGCTGAAGTCTTGCATGATGATAAGATTGGGTTACTTTCAGCTAGGCTGGAATAAAAACGTAGAAATGGGGACTGGTATTAGATGCTCAGAGTATAACACTTCAGTGGACAATATGACAGTTTGGACATTTCTATTTATGCAGGTGATTCTGAGTAATTCAAACAATCATGAAATGCTTTAATATACAGGTAAACAACATATTATTCATACTGCTAGCAGATTTATTTTTTTAAAGGATGTATCTCTCCCTCTCTTCAAATAAGAGCTTTAATTTATTGCTCCAAATAATCAGTAGAAATCTGCATTGGGATTACAGCCAATCAAACCTCTGAATGCTTCCATCTTTCTATTTGGTGTTAAGATGATTTATTTTTGCTGTTTCAGATTGGAGGTTTGGCCTCTTTGCCATCGCCCTAATTTTGCTCCCTCCTCAAATTTGTTTTATCTTATCAAATTTGGAACCTATTTGGTTTTAAAAAGCTATGTCATGATGAAAGAACAGCAAGATATTAAAGCAACATCTCAACACATTAGCCAGGAAGTTTATGATAATCCTAAAGGTACCAGCAAGTTGTTCAAAAGTGGCTTAAAAACCACATTGTTGATTTTTGTTGTCTTGGAAAACCTGGAAACAAAGAGCTGAACACCGTCCTATAGAAAGTACGCAGAGTTAGAAGGTTCTGCAGCTCGTGCTCAGCTAGTCGTTCTACCACTAGAAATGGGCCAAAGTACTAAAATTAAGGTTGATTTGCCAAACAGTATAAAAAGCAATTTCACCAAAAATTAAAGGAGCGTATGTCAGCTTCTGAACATGAAAACATTGATGATAAAATTAGTAAACAGAGATAACTGCATCAGGCTCCTAAGGGGAGAAAAACTGGGGAAATGCAAACATCTGGTGCCTTTTGACCACACTAGAAACTATACATGCATGAGTGATGTCACCACGCCTATTAGGACATTTAGAGCAGTCTGTTATGGATGATAGCAGCTCCGTTCTTTTGATTTCCTGGTGGGGGTTTTCTGTATTATTTCTCCGTGTAAAATGCATTTTGGTATTCCACTTTTTGTTAAACTCGTTACATTTCTGAAAAAAAAAAACAATCAAAAAAAGGCTCCCAGAGTCAATTATCTAGAGGAAATTTCTCCTTTTTTTGTGAGCTGGGTGTTCTTCAATACATCTGGTATCAAATATATAAATCAAAACTGAAAACAGCAAACATTTAGGACTCGATTGGTTTTATTTTCTGGTTTCAAACTCCTGAATCTGCACTGGTGCTGAGGTCTTACACAAGTCTGGAGATTTTTTTCCATAGAATCACATTTATACGATCAGGAAAGCTGAAAGTAACATGCAGGTCAGTTTGAAGGGCGCAAACCGCTCTGCAGAGAGCGTTTAGATAAAACAAACAAATCTGATCTTGTGCATTGAATTAGAAAAAAACAATTTAAACCAATGATATTCTATAAATGGTAGTTAGAAATATAAAAATATGAATAATCTGCACCATGACAGTAAAAGCAATTGAGGATCATAACATCCAGGACAAAATATGGTTTCTTTCCCAGAGCAATCTATGGCTTTATGTAAAACCATCATACTATAGCCTCATGCACATATTTTCAGACTTCTCCACAGGGACATTTTTCAGCTGCTGTAAGTGATCCACTTTCCCTCCTAAGGAGCCTTATATATTTTATGCAGGCTTTTATTTTTATCTCTCTGTTCTACTCAGAATGTCATTATGGCTCCATCTTGACAATGAATTTAGTGATCGAATAATTACACTAAATCATTTAATAAAAACCAACTCATTGAGTAACAGCTTTACAAAAAAAATATAGATTTTGCATTTAGGATGTAAAAAAACTTGTGTGAATACGATCTATTCAGAATTCATCATTTCTGAGCGTTGAATAGATTGTTAACATTGTTTTGGTATTTAGCGCGTTTCAAATAAGCAATAAATGTTTAGTTTTTTAAGTTCAAATATGTATTTTTTTTTTTTAGATTGACTATCAAAAAAAGTGATAGCTGTCAATCAATGAGTGAGCAGAACTATACGTGAGACTTTCATAATAGAATCAACATTAATATATTGAGGGTTTCTTCTGAACAGATAAAAAGTGATTTTTGATGTATTTTAGTGATTGAAGAATATTTTTTAAGCTAACAGAATTCCTGTAGGTAACTAAAATGCTGTATTTACAATAGGTGAGTAGTTTCAATGCTAACCAGAGCTGCCTTACATTTATTTAATGTCAGTTTGAATTTCAAGCTAACTGTGGAGGAAGAGGGAAATAAACAAAGGGGGACAGGCTAAGTAGTTAGCAGTGTAAAATTTTGTCTTGTTTTTATGCCAGATAAATGCAGTTATGCTCTATATTTCAACGTGAGAATAACCCTGTGTGAGAATAGCGTGGCTTTCAGCTGTTTAAGAAAAAGCTAATTGTTTGCAGTCATTTAAAATGTACTTCTATACTCTGAAAACCTGAAGCACCACGGTAAACCTGCTTCTGCTAGATGTCAATCCCCATATAAGTCAACAGAAATCCCACGGAGCTGCTCTGTTTCACACAAGACGACAGGCGATGGTTTAGGTGAAGTATCTGTGAATGCTGGTTGGATTTCTATTTGCTGGTGGCCATGATCTTCATGTACTGGAGTGCGCTGTGCGCCGCGTCGTTGTGGGCATTGCTGCAGGAGATGCCGGTGCCGTGGCACACGGTGACGGGGGAGGTGGACAGCTCTGCCAGACACTGGTACTGACCGTTCACCGTCAGCTCATCTGCAAAAACACCAACACCTTTCAAAAGGAGTATTGCACCTAAAAGCTTCTATCACCTACAGTAAAAAGCCCTTCAGGCAGCCTGGACACAGTCATCAGATGATATTTCAATCACTGTACGAGCAGCAGCTTAAACCAGTCTTAATACGCTTGAACTTTTCCACATCTTGTCTCATCTAACAGCAGATTAATGCACTTTGTTACGATCTCATATCATCAACAGCCAAAGTAGCACAGAATTAAAGGGGAAAAAAATTAAAGACTTCAAATTGTTCATGTATTAAAAGCTGAAGTGGCAGATGTGAGCATTTTACAACAAAGTATTAGGGTGAAGAAAAAAATGAGGAACTGTTTTGTTGTTGCTAAACTGATTTAAGATCGAAGACAAGATGACAATAAAAAATGGAAAAAGTATCAGAACAATAAAGTGGAAATATGTCTGGTTCAAAGACCTCTTCCTCTTTGATCATAAAAGCAATTCGTTAACACATACTGGATCTGTAACTTAAATATCTCACAATCTCAACCTTTTCTTTAAATACAACTTTGAACTTATTCTAAATATTTCAACTGTATGAAAAAAGAAAAAAAACCCGCCATTCTTTACTCCATGTGACCCTAAAACTTCCCTAAAGTATTCTGCTTTACCTGAGGAAATACCTTTTAGAAAAACCTATAGCAGAAAGTCTTTTACCCCATTTACACTACCCTAGAAAAACCGTGGCGAGACCGGTCCAAGCTCAGTAACTGAGATAACTTATCGTGTGTAAATGGTTAGCAAACTGAAATGAACCGAGCTAGACACAACCGAACAAGGATAACTGCAGACCAGTTCCAGAGGTGAGCTCGGCGCGGTTTTTCCCTGGCTCGGTTCTCTGATAACAAGAGCGCATGAGCAGAACGCGTCATCTCCATCTGGCTGCACATCCTGATTCACACTCTATTCCAGTAGTTGGCGGTAATGCCCCTCCGGAAACAGAAGAAGAAGAACAACTTCTTCAACTATAAGCAACAATTGAAATCTTCTCCACGCAACATTTTAAATAATAGCATTTTAAATAATAACACCGAAGTACAGCAATAATAATCAAGCATAACTTTCTGAGTGTGACGGGCGCCGCCATTTTGATTTGCTTGATTCCCTCCTTCTTCGTCTTCTTCTTCTTGTGTTTTATGGCGGTTGGCAAACAACTTTTGGTGCATTAGCGCCACCAACTGCTTGATTTCCTCCTTCAATACTGGCAGTAATACCGTAGATCGTCACTAGGAGGCGAGGAGTTGAGGAACCGAGATAGCATGATGAGTAAACGGTCGTCAGAACCGAGCTCGGCATGGATCGGTTTTTCAAGGGTAGTGTAAATCGGGTATTTGATGCACATCTCCCCCTCTGTCTCCGCTCTGCCCCGCTCATGTAGTCGTGCGGAGCACTGGGGCAGTCATATTAATCAATGTGAACTGTTCCACGTCAACCACTACTCCTCCGCAAGTCGCTGTTCAAGTACGTCTTCTCCATCCGTCACCGTCAAAATACTGAGCCAAGCTGTTTTTAGGTCCGCTCCAGTCCAGATCAACAATTGCAATCGCACCAAACAGCAAAAAGAACATCGAGAAGATCCGGTTTGTCAGATTAAAATATATTAACGACAGATCGGTAACTACAAATTAGAGCATAATTCTTATATATTCCCAAAAACTAAGGCCGTTTAATTAAATGACTGGATGCAAACTATCGGTACTTCAACATACCAGGAAGCAGATTTCTCATCTCGATCAAAATATTTATTTCATACCGAGAGGCTTAAAAGTTTCATAGTTTCATCATTTCACAACAACTTCCGAGAGCAAATCTTACAACTTCAAAAGTAACGTCTTATCGAAGGAATGGAGGAAGAGATGCCGGCTTTGGAAGTCGATAACAAACCAATTTTGCATGATCCTAATTATCCATATTACAATTATATCATATTAAATTAAGCGTTAATTTCCACATGTTTTGCTCCTATGAATTAATGATAACAATAATAACTTCACGCATGCTCTCCTAGACTTCCAGGGTTCACTTTGTGCAGGGGGTCTGGAACGGAGCGGGGCGGTTACGAAGGATGTTGGATTTCGAGGTTAAAATCAGACAGTATGGAGACGATCTAAGAAACATTAGTCTGCAGATTTTCCATTCTAACACATCAAGTTGTCTTGATCCAAGTAGGCTTCTCTGTTAGCTCTGGCTGTACGTTTTCTTCCATACCCAGAAAGAAGCAATCTATTCTGGATGGGATTATTTTAAAGCATAAAAGCTTTATTTATGATTCACGTTTTAAAATGGGAAAGTGGCTCTGTAGGACTGGAATTGGGCAGCCCTGCTTTAGATCATCAATACCCTGAAGTGTGACTAACAGATGTAGAGATCTTACCGATGTCAAAGTATGTGACTTCAAAGCCTTGCTCTTTGGAGAGATCTAGCAGCATCTGAATGTAGTCGGTGTTGGGAATGCTCAGGGGGTTTCTCCTCAGTAGAGAGATCTTCTCTGCTGTGGAGTTCCTGATGTTCTCAAAGCCAACGCTTGGATTCGGAGTCTAGAAAAAAAAATATTGGGAAGGTAAAAAGAATAAAGAAATAATAATAGCAAAATGTGTGAAATGAATAAATGTGAGAAGCGGTGGCGGACCCATGTGATCTCAGAGGAGCCCGACAAACTTTGAATCTTTGCCAACATTTTCTCTGCTGCTTCCTTCTTTGCTGCTTTTTTGGTGCTACCAACCCCTGAAATGCAAAAATAAGTCTCAGAAAAACAAAAATAAAGCATATACATACATAAAAAAAAAAAAAAAGATCAAAAGAAAATGCACCCTGTTCTGTGAGCGACTCCAATCTACATATAATAGTGAACTCTTTCCTGTGCGGCGGCCCCATTTCAGTTAAAATGATGTATTCGGGAACGCGCCATCTTTTCTGCAACGCCAGCGTCTAAAACCAAAAGGTAAAGAGAGGATGTTAAGTTTTAATAATGAATACAGACAATAAATCAATAGTTCTGATGTATGAGTTTTTGGTTTTTACATCACAGCATGCAAACATATGACATTATTGTAAATGTAATTAAGGGAATACAAAATGAATACTGAAAAATTAAAAACTCTAAGTATTACCACGCTTATTTTATATGAACAAAAAGTAAGATCTATACTGCAGGGACAGGGATGGGGCAGGTGTTTGTAAGAGCAGGTAAAGGTTTGATTTTTATATCTTATATCAAAAGGCAGCTTTTATAAACAAATGTCTGGTTGCTGCGACAGAAAGTTACATCTCAGCTCAATCAAATCAGTTGAATTTGTTTCCAAAAGCAAACATGTATCAGATCCTGATGTGAAAACCTTAAAATCACAACAAAAACTAAAAAACAAGGAGTTCATCTGCTGTCTTTCTTCAGATTCGGGGACATTGGTCGTTTTGCTTTATTAGATCAAGTCTCACCGGGGTTACAAACAAAGCTGTGATGCTCCTGCAGCTCTGCACCGTGATTAGAGATGTTGGAAGTATGTAAACAAATCAGAGCAAAGAGAGAGAGAGCACACCTGAAGCAAGCCTACGGGGTTGTTTGGTTCTGCTACCACACCGTTCGTGTTGGACCGCCCAGGAACAACCCTGTTGGGACGACATCACAGCACAGCAGGACGCCTCAGTTATCACATCTTACAATCTTTACCGGATTTAGCATTCAGTGTATAGGATGCTGTGATCAAGCCAAGAGTTTATAGTTACAATGTAATGTTATTAAAACAATACTGCTTTTAATCCATAAAAACCTTCATCACACAAATTTATCTTTATATAACTACAAAAGCTTTTATGTCTAAAAGATTTCCTGAGTTTATCTTTAATCTCCACATTTTAGATCCAATACACAGTAGCCTCATTTTCATCCGTATTTTATTTTATTTTATTTTTTTTTACAATAATTTCGTATTCAAATGACAAAACCCTTTATTCCTTAGATAAACATAAAACAGTTCTAGGTTTTATTAGTTGCACTCACCCACTTTCAGTGTCGATGTTTAATAGTTTCAGTGCAGCCTCTGCAGCTTGTTGTTTGGCCGCCTTTTTACTTGAACCTTGACCTGCAAAACGAGGACCAGGCATTTATTATATCGTAGATATAAAATGATCATTTTCAAACCATCATTTTACTTAAAGTTAAATTTAACTTTTCACTTTATCAGGATTTTATGTGGTTCAACATCCAAAAGTAGCACATAATTGCCAAATTAAAGGAAACTGGTGCTTGATTTTGCTTTTTTACACACTGGAATCTGCAAAGCAAGGTCTGGATTTTTGTATTTAGCAGGATTGACCCTGATTAGCTGAAATAAAATCCATTGCATTCAACTGAATCAGCCTGCAAAAATTTTTTAATCTAAATAACTAACTTTTCTTCAATTTTTTTCTTGAATTGAGGAGTTTAGAGAGAGACACTTTGCCAACGGAACATGACAATTTGCATTTATAAATAAAAAAAAGCAACCGTATTGTCTTATTTCAAGTACATCATATTTAATTATCTTATTTTAAGAGTAAAAATACTCATTCTATTGGCAAATCATCTTATTTACCTACTCAAATTAAGGATAAATACATTTAAGAATTTCTAACTTATCTCTAGATCGTTTTTGCAGTGACAGAGTGCACCTGTCAGCAGCTTAATTTCAGGATTAAACCGGATGTTGTCTGAAGATTTCAGAAGTTTGTTCAGAAATAAAAAAGGTAAAGAAATGTAAAGAAGCAGACATGTTTGACAAAGAGGACGCATCAAACACGTGGCAAAAAAGGGGCACTGGTGAGATGACAACATGACTGTTGTTGTACAAACTGGGCAAGAACTGAGGTTTTACATTTAGCAGACACTGAGTGAGGATGCTACTGCGCACCTGTACATTTAACTCCTCCAATGGTCACACTGAAGACAAAGCTGGGCTGGTGAGCTTCTCCTTCTGCCTTCTCCATCACAAACACAGGCAGGTCTCCACTAACCACGCCGTGTTCGAAAAGGATTTGGATCGGTGTCTTGCAGGAGCCGGTCCTCTGTGGTTCAGGTGTGTTTAGGCTGCAGGTCAAACACAGACACTAAAACTAATGCCTCAGACTTTAAAAGTGAAGCAAGGAGTAAATATGGAAGAGAAAAATTGTCAGGGCTAGAATGTTTTCATGGGATCTAAAAGGTAAAACGAATACTTCTCCATTTAATAATGTTTAATGATGTTTTTCTTCTTCCACACGTTAATAGTTTATGAACATCTCAGCTTTTTTTTTTAAAAAGGTGTTTATTCCAGAGCTACAGAACTGAAAAAAAAAAACAAAATGCAGGAGGTCCCTTTTTAGTTCTGTTAAAAGGGAGTTCTTCCTCTCCGCTGTCGCTAAAGCATGCTTGGTGTGAGGGATTGCCTTTGAGTCAATGAATCGATGCAATCAGCTGGTTTTCCTTAGATAGAAAACTTTGAATGAGTTTGACTGTATGATCTGGCTGAATTGTCTCTATAAAGTACCTTGACATGACATGGGTTGTAAATTGCCGCTATATAAGTAAAATTAATTGAATTAAAATACTTAAAGTTGATCCCTGATGGTCTCTGATGCTCCAGGCCTTCTGGTCTAAATGGTTTCAGTGCTGACAAGTAATTCTGAAAGTGTTTAATACACCCTCAAAAAGATTTCAACTTTCTTTCTGTGCAAACAGGGTGCTACTGCTTTACTTTAAATTTATGCATGGCATATAAAGTGACCTGTAAATTTAGCCACAATAAAATCCACATTTGATCTTCGTTTGCTCAGATTAATAATTGCAAAATGATACAAAATACTTTGGTTCTTCTTCCAAATAAAACCTGAACCAGAAGAGAGACAACCCACACTATCAATGATAGTGATAATGATTGTGTTGAATGGTGAGCTGAGATCTTGTTTGTAAAATAAGTATTCATGTTAGGGTGAAGTTTAAAAGAGAGAAAAAGAAAACAAAACACTACTTACCATCTTTCAGGGGCAGCTGGTGAAGGATATCCTTGCTCAGACATCTTTACAGCTTATGGTAGGATAAAACTGTGCTGTCTGTCCGAAGCACTGTGAACCAGAATCCAGAATTTCTTTGAGTCAGGCTCTTGCTCTGTGAGACATTTCACATTATAAATACATTACTGCACAGATTTAATAAAATGCTTGATCGCAAAAAGTCTTGTTACCCTATAAACATTTAACTATGCTTAAAACATCGAGCATGCAGATAAATAACTCCAGACATACTCACTTTGTTTGTTTAATATCTAATTTAAATTATTTAAATTATTACATATATATATATATATATATATATATATATATATATATATATATATAATGTGGTGTTATTTTGCAAAAGAGTGAAAGTGCCATTCAACAATATAGAAAAGAAAACGCACCACCTTAGGTGGAAATAATCGTGAAATAATCGTCAACTAATTTAGTAATTGATTAATCATGAACTTGCCTTAAGCTGACAGAGAAACCAGCTTTAAGAAGCAATTATATGAATATTTCAAAAAATATATGTAAATATTATGCATTTAAGATATAAATCATTGTCATGTGTCAATATGCTCTATCTAGAAGTCCTCAAGTGGAAAAGTTTTTTCCACATGGTTTGATTTCGCAAAAAGCCTTCTTTAAGAAACCTTTGGCTATAAAATTATTAACTGATTAATCAAAAAATAATAATCAGCAGATTAATCGATTTGCAAAATAATCGTTAATTGCAGCTCTACATTTAAGTTTGCTTTAGAGCTGAAGACAAAGACTGAAAATACTTTGAAGGCAAAGAAGTAATTTACTGGGTGAGAAAGATGCATTCATCACCTTAGCAGTTAAAATCCAGGATATTTAAATAGTTCCCCTTCTGCTGAGGACTAGGACTGGATGGAGCTGCACCACCAGTGCAGAGCTTGATGAACATGACATAATGACCTACTTGACACTCTGCGGTAATCATAAAAATACATTGTTCAAATGACATAAATTGATACTGCAAGCAATTCAAAGTAAAATCATATTTGATCTGTACACGTTGGGACCTGACAGCGTTAAGAAATAAATGGCAAAAATAATAATAAGTGTTCACAATTTCCCAATTTATAGAGATTTTATAAAGCATGTTGAAGCGCATCAAAAACCAAACAGAAAACGTCACAAAAAACCGAAACAAACGAGGTCTCAATGAACAGAAAGGCTTAAAACATTCCTTACTTCAGACTTTTATACAAACTTATTTCTAACGAACCTACATCTACCCTGCGGGACTTTATGAACTCTTAAAAATAAAAAGGAAATACAGTATTAAGTCAAAAACGCAGACAGGAAGAAGCGGTGCTCTGATGCTACCTTAGATCTCCGGCTTTCTTAAAGGGCCAGCACGGCGACGATGTAGCAGAAACTAAAACCTTAATGTTTTTTCTGCTCTATTTCCGAACATTTTCCTTTATGTTCCACTATCAACGAATAAAGTGGTGCAGACCATAAAACGGAGAACTACGCAATCTTGATAGTGTGTGTGTGTAGGGGGGCTATGGGGGGAATACTAACGTATCACATCCGGGTCCTCTTCTTCTTCTTTGTCAGATTGGCGGATTACAAACAATTTATAGGTGCATACCCCCACCTACTGTACATGAGTGTGTGGCTCTCTAGTTCCACCTATTCTATTTTTTATATATATATTTTTTTATGTAAAAATAAAAACAATTCTTTATTAACAACCACATTTCCCCCCCTATATCCATCTGTCCCTAAAATTCCTTTAATACTCCATTCTCTCCCTTTTAACATCCGGGTCAAATGCGGTGATGCAATGTCTACCGCCCCCTGTAGGGAGAAGAATGTTATTGTTTCTATTCTGCTTTTGTTTGCTTCAATGCTAAAACAAAAGCAATTTAATTTAGAAGTCAATTTAATTCTTTTGGCCAAATTTTTCGTACATAAATATCGATTTAAAAAAATTACCCCACCTCTAAATATTCGTATAAGTGAGATACAATCAATGATGCAATATATTGAGAATTTACTTTAAAATTCAAGAGTCCTTTTGTTTGTTTTCTTGTCTTTTTTTATTTAATTACTTTGTTCTACGATCTGTTATTTTTGTTTTCCAATTGTATATAGGTTCTCTGTATGATTCTTTTTGTTATATTATACATACTCTGCTCAGCTTCCTAAGATATTAAATCTACAATTTTGTATAATTGTTTTGATAGGCCTTGTAATAGTTTGATTCTGCAATAAAAAAAAAAATAAAAAAAATCCCAGAAGTAATTTACAAAAATCCATGTTGGCAATTAAAACAAATAAATTGAAGTATGAACAAAAATGAACAATATTATAAATAATAGAAAGTGAAATAAATGTTGAGATTGGAATTAGCATTTAAGACGTTAAAAATACAGTAGCCCATTATTTGCAAATTTCATATTTCTCTTGCTACAGACTGTCAAAAGAAAATGAACTGGCGGTATTCCTACGCAATTGGACCTGAGCATCTAATTGGTTAATGAACGTACCAAGCACAGAACACAAATAAATATCTAAATGAATGAATGGAAGAATAGAAATTTATTTCAATTTGACAAACAACAATAAACAATCAATAAATCAACAAAATACACTGCATATTTCTTTGGAGATCAGTTTCTTTTATAAATTTACATTCATCTAGTCCAGCAGGTTTTATTATTTAAAAAAAACTCAGAGAATACATCATTTTTCAAATCTGAGTATTTTATGGCAAAATAAAGCACATCTAGGACTTTGTAAACATTACTTGTTAACGTTGGATAAAGAACAGCATTTTTTTTTTACTATTGCAATGGGACTAAGGCAGAGGATATGACAAACTGGAAACAACACTTCATAGGAAAATATAATTGCATTAATATGCTCGTGCAATAAAAAATGTACATATATACACATTTTCAAACAGAAAAACATTATATAATGCATTATTATAGCAGTTCATCATGTCTCATGATGAACTGCTATAATAATCATGATATGATGAACTGGCGAGGTCTAAATTAATTGAAACAGTGTAAAATGGTTATGGTAAATATGGGGAACAAAGGGCAGACAGCAGGGATTCATTCATACCATTTTAAGCGTTAATGCAACAGATTTTATATGAATTCTCAAATAAAGCCACTAACAAAGTCCAGAAACTGCTTCAAACCTGTAGACTGTCAGAAGAAAAAAAAATCCCTTTTGTCAGGAAAGTCAATTGAGGAAGGGGGGAGGCCTTTTAGGGATCGGGAAGACCACTCTCTTCCGGAGCGAAAAAGATGGCTGTGGCATTTGCTTTTTCCGCTGAGTATTGTCGGTCTTCTTACTGACGTCGTTGTTCACTTCTGTGAGAATGGAGACAAGGTCGATCCCCCTGGCAAAACATTGGATACTAGATTTAGTTTAAACAATGTAAAAGTTCTGAAAATAAACAACAGTTTGAGCCAGAGCTAATTATGTATGTTTATCACAAGTCAGTTTGATATTCATAACAGTCATTAAAGGCGGATGATTCTGGTATAAAACCAATCAATAAATCATCGAACACAGATTTTATAGTTTGGCTAACACAAGCACTCAGGCTGTTAAGAGTGCTGTAAATAATACAATGGCTTTATGTAAAGCCATTATCATCTAAATGAAAGGAAATGAAAGGAAATAAGCACTTCACGTGCCTCACTGTGCATAAAGTACATATTTATGAGTTTCTCCTTTTGAACCAATTTACAGAAATAAATTAACTTTTCGATGATTTTTTTTTTAAGATGTGCCTATAATTGATTTTAATTTCTCTCCATGAAAGAAATGATTAGCACCAGATATGTGATCATATTTTTACTCACTTTGGCACAAGCTTGACAAGGTTCTGGCACAATGACTGAATGTACCAGGTCCCATTGCTCTTATCCCTGAAAGACACGTAATCAGGAAGGGTGGCCATTCCCAACAGGAAGTCTGCAGCTACTGGGATGCTCTCGTTCGCCACTCTTGCATCGCTAACAACTTCGCTGGTTTCGTCCTCAGGGCCGTCTGCCTGGATGGGCCTCAGCTCGTTGGTGCCTTGGCAAGCCTGGATGAAAAAAAGCTTTGGTTTTTCTACCAAAGAGGGGCACATCTGTCCGTAGAAGGGGGACATCATGTCCTTGATCTTAACCACTTTGCCATCTACGCCGTAGACCCCGCCCTCCGTGCCATGACTGAGAAAGCAGCACACCAGGCAGTCCATCTGGCTATGGTCCTTTTTTCGGAGATCCTGAAGCACGGAGTGAATTTTCTGTCCGTTACAATCTTGGTGTATCTCCACATCAAAGCCCAGCCATTCAAACACTTCTTTCAGAGCATCTGAAAGGAATATAAATAAAGGAAAATTGTTAAAAACAGAGTTACTATTCAGAGTAAACAGTTTATAAAAATAAATATGCAGTTCAATTAACCCTTTAAATCCTGATCCAAGAATAAAACAAAACAGAAAATTACTTTTTTTTGTTTGAATTCCTTATTTGCCCTTTTAACAAAATATGTAAAAAGAAAAAATTATTAATAATTTATTACTATGCGATAAGTCAAGATTATTTTTTGTGTAGTCTTCTACTGGCTGTTATCAGGTATATCTGATTGTGTACAATAGGATTTTGAGCAAAGTTTTTACCACTGAATTATGCAAAAAGGTGTCAGAAGCAAAACATTTCAGAAACCGTATGTATCAAATATGATACATTTGGCATTATAGGGTTAAGATTCATAAGACCTAAACTTACCTTCATCAGCATTGGTTCCCTTTCTTTCCTTTAAAGCGACTGTGGAACGAGAGAAGTCATTGTTGTTCACTATTAAACAAATTCCTCTCTTCTTTCCAGTCATTTGATATTTTTTCAGAACCTACAAACATAAACCCAAAAAATGGATTAAGAACTGAAAACATTTTTTTTTACAAATCCATAATATTTTACACATATTCTCTATGGAAAATGGTCATAATAATTCAGAGGGACGTTTTCCTGGGGTTTCATTCTTTATGCTGATCTTAACATATAAATTATTAAAGGTGGAGGATTTTATTTTTCCGGATGGATCATCAAAATAATTGGTCCTCCTAATTGTCAATCATTCTGGTGATATGTTTACATAAGGCTATCCAACGTGTTTGTACCCATTTTTACTTAGTGGTGAGTCTGACATATTGGAAAAAAAATGCAAATCTCCTTTTGGAAAGTAAGCTCGTATGAAAGATGCAAATAGCAACTTTAAAACAGAGAGTGCCCGAGGAGAAAATGGCTCAGGTACCGGGTTGTGAGCATGTGCTTTTAAGTAGAGAGGGCGGGTCTTTTCAAAAATGTGCATAAAGATGAGCATAAAAACAACAACTCGACGTTATACTGCATTTTGCACCATATTAATTTTTGCACTGCACTGAACCTTTTCATATGAATGCCCTTTTGCACCATTATTGTTGCACTGACTTGCTAATTGGTGGCAGCCCAGGACAGGGCTATTGGTGTGTGCACACGTAAATTGCTTTGCCTGACACTGGTGAAGGCATAAATGAAAGGCAGCTCTATCCTGCAAGTTGTGTAAGAGATTTGTGCTGAAAACTAGCTGCAGAGAATTTGAGGAACCATGTCAAAAAACTGAAGAGGCAGTTGGTAAGAAATCTGACCTTTATTTAGGATCTTACTACTGCTGCTGTGTTTAATCTAGTCTGTAATTTGAGTGGAGTCCTCCTCATTTGACTTGTACACCTTGATTTGCTAATGGCTGCAAGACACAGCAAACCTTCTGGCAATGGCACATATTGATGTGCCATCCTGGAGGAGTTGGACTGCCGGTGCAACCTCTGTAGGGTCCAGGTAGCGCCTCATGCTAACAGTAGAGACAGTGACTATAGCCAAATGCAAAACTGGTGACAAAGAGTCAGAAAAGATGAGGAGGGGAAGAAATGTCAGTGGCCTCCACCTGTAAAACCATTCCTGTTTTGATGGTCGTCTCGTCGTTGCCCCTCTAGTGCACCTGTTGTTATTTCATTAACACCAAAGCAGCTGAAACTGATTAACACCCCCTCTGCTACTTACCTGACCAAATCAATATCCCAGAAGTTTAATTAACTTGATGCTATACTCTGATTACAAAGTGTTCCTTATTTTTTTTTAAAAAGTGTATTATGGTTAAGGTTTTTACCTGACTGTTGTTACGACTGACCACAAAAAAAAAGGAAATAAAAATAAAAAGAATGGAAAAAGTCGACTGCTCTTTCTGAGTAAATCCAGCTTCACTCTTAAAGTCATGGCTCCACCCCTTTCCAGTGTGGGGTGCAGTTACTGAAACACCTGACAATGACTTTTAAACTGGTTTTCTCTTCTCCTACATTGTTTACATTCTGATCACTGCTGCACTTTATATTGGTAATGTTTATCAACTCCAACTGCAATATCATTTCACCACTGTAAGCTTTATGCAATGGAATTTTGTTTTGTATACACTGTGGGTATACAAAAGAAAAGAAAGTTTGTCTAAGTCTCTAAGTCTGGTC